TACTTTTATTCTGGAACCATATTTGCCTGAATAGGGTTTTTTGAGTTTTGTTTTCGAAGGAACCTTTTCGAGTAAAGGCTCTTGTATGGCACCATATGAACTTAAAGTCACCATGAAATCAAAATTGACAATTCTGGTTCCTTTATGAAATATTGCAGTAATTATTATAAATTATTTACTGGTGAAACTCGAAAAATTAGAATATCATACAAAAATGTATTTCAGTAATTCAACTTAAAAGGTGAAACTAAAATATTATATAGACTCATTACATGCGAAGTGAGATATTTCAAGCCTTTATTTGTTATAATTTTGATGATTATGGCTTACAGCTTATGAAAACCACAAGAGGCTTTCATAGCTGTAAGCCATAATCATCAAAATTATAACAAATAAAGGCTTGGAATATCTCACTTTGCATGTAATGAGTCTATATAATATTTTAGTTTCACCTTTTAAGTTGAATAACTGAAATAAATGAACTTTTGCACAATATTCTAATTTTTCGAGTTTCACCTGTATGTGTGCGTTATTATTTTTTTTAATTCATGTGCCTCGTAATATTTAACCAAAATGACTTCCCTTCCTTTGCAGCGACTTCTCGTCTCTGATGACGTTTATTGGCGCGAGGGCGGGGCAACCTGTCACTCAAACGAGCTCGACCAATAGCAAACCACAACATCTAATCAATTCCTCAAGGGCAAAATCAAGCCCCGCCCTACCAATTTCCTTGTTTGAGAAGCCGTTTCACTCGGATTTATATAATTTATTGTTCAGTGTCTATACTTTTACTATGCAAAGTTCCCTTTATGTAGTAAAGCAGAACTGAAACGACACTGATGCATCATGTTTACTCATTTACTGGATGTTTCATGTTAGTTTCTTCAGACTGAATAGCAGATACTAAACCTTAATCATGTGCAAAGATCTGAAACTCTATTTGCCTGTAAACGCAGCGCGGCGCTTTAGGGCTTGATGGCTGATCATTAACTGGGCTCAAAGGTTGTGTTCGATTATTCTACGGGAGAGAGAGAGCGACCGAGTTGGAAAGTTACAGAAAGCATTGTAATGACGAAGAAAGAACATGAGATAAGAAGGTGACCTCTGACCTCCTGTAGACGATCTTCAGATCCCTCCACTGCAGGAAGTTGCAGGCCTTCGGGGGTCGAGCCAGCACCATTTGTGTGACGTCCCGTATGATCTTCTTCTTGTCCCGATCGCCGAGAGCCGTGAACCATTTCTGCAGTCGCAGCTTCCCCTGACGGCTGAACAGCAGCAGAAAGCGCATCTACAGCCAACACACACATTCATTTCTCCAGGAAAATGTCTGAAAGCTTCATTAAGCTGCTTTTGAAAATGTGATAGACTACAACGTGACGTATTGACCTGAATACGGCACAAAACACACACACACACACACACACACCTACTGTATAGGTTAAGTACCACATGCTTTGTCATGGTCAGAATGTCAAATAACGCAGGACTATCACAGTTAATGTATTACTAGGAGTAATAATTAGGGTAATCTGTGCTGACACACACACACACACACACACCTTTCCGGCAGCATAGAAAAGCATTGAGCGTAAGACTCCTTGCTGAGACCCCAGTGGGAATCTGTGTTTGACATTTTAAGGCTGTTGCCAAGAGCCTGCATCCCTGTTAACACACACACACACACACACACACACCCACGTGTTGGGTTTCCATGTTTTATGGGGACTCTCCATAGACATAATGATTTTTATACTGTACAAACTATATATTCTCTCCCCTTACACTAACTCTACCCCTAAACCTACCCGTCACACACACACACAAACACACACACTAACCCGACCCCTAAACCTACCCGTCTCTAACACACACACACACACACACACACACACACACACACACACACACACACACACACACACACACTAACCTGACCCCTAAACCTACCCGTCTCACACACACACACACACACACACTAACTCTACCCCTAAACCTACCCGTCACACACACACTAACCCGACCCCTAAACCTACCCATCACACACACACACACACACACACACACACACACACACACACACTAACCCGACCCCTAAACCTACCCATCACACACACACACACACACACACACACACACACACACACACACACACACACACTAACCCGACCCCTAAACCTACCCGTCTCTCACACACACACACACACTAACTTGACCCCTAAACCTACCCGTCTCACACACACACACACTAACTCTACCCCTAAACCTACCCGTCACACACACTAACCCGACCCCTAAACCTACCCGTCACACACACACTAACCCGACCCCTAAACCTACCCATCACACACACTAACCCGACCCCTAAACCTACCCATCACACACACACACACACACACACACACTAACCCGACCCCTAAACCTACCCGTCACACACTTTCTGCATTCTTACATTTTCAAAAAACATAATATAGTAAGATTTATAAGCTGTTTTCCTCATGGGGACCAAAAAAATGTTCCCTACATCTGAGGAGGCATTTTGTAATATTTTTTATCATTAAAATTTATTTTGTGACGGGACAGAAATTTACAAATATATGATGTGAGATATATATATATATATATATATATATATATATGAAATGATTAGTAAAAAGACAATTACAAATAATTATTGTATAATTACAATGTATATTGTAATCTTCCATGGAAAGAATTTGTAATAGAAATTTTTAATAAATAAATTATTATGTATTTATTTATTAAAAATTACTATTACAATTTCTTGCCATGGAAGAATACAATATATACATTGTAATTATACAATAATTATTAGTACCGGTAATTGTTTTTTTACTAATCATTTCATATATATATATATATATATATATATATATATATATATATATATATATATATATATATGACCATTTGAAAAGGCAAAAAGGTTGTTAAAAAGTGTGAAGAACTGAAATGGTGACCAGTTAATTTAATTTATAATTACAATAAATGATAATTAGTGCTGTCAAATCGATTAATTGCGATTAATCACATCTAACATAAAAGTTTGTGTGTGTGTGTTACATCTTTATAAACTAAAAACTTGATACTGATAAATAACAAGCACGTGAAAAAGAAGGTTGAGCAGGACACTAATACACCAGTGCCAAGGTCATGGGTTTGATTCTCAGGAAACTGTACCGCTAAAGTTGATCCCTTCACTGCACTGTACGCTAATGCCACATGCATGCAATGGAATAATAAATAAAACTGCTTTTCAGACTAAAAATACACTATATGAATCATTTCACCTTTAATAACGTCCTGAGAATGAAGTATAGTTTACATACACACACACACACACACACACACTGTGTACATGCACTTCTCTCTGGGTGGTGAGCAATGAGAAACTGCAAACCAAGAAAAGAGGGATAAAGGCAACAAATGCACCTTTGTCTTCTTGGTACAAAAAGGAAATACAAATGTCCCTCTTATCAGCCAAAGAACAGTGTTTGTGTGCAGTAAAACACAACAAAAGCTCCCAGACAAACAGCTCTACAGAAGCGAGATACAAAGCACTATCTGACCGCGGCCTGACACTCTGACTCTTATCTGATAGTTTGATCTGTTTGTGATGCTAATGCAAGAAAATGACAGCAACATTAATAACAAGACAATAAATGATGATCAGCAATTGCACATCGTGACCTCACCATCCTGAGGCTTCAGAAGTCCTGGTCGACCCTGTGTGGTTTGCAGCGCGGGTTCATGTCTCTCTGTTACGGCCGCGTCCCCGCGACTCTCTCACCTCGCCCCGGTGTGTGTTTCTGTGTTTGTGCTCGTGCACAGGTGTGCACCAATCACAGGCGGCGCACGGGCAGAAGGGGGCGGGGCTGAGATCTGCGCGCGTCTGTGTCTGATTCCCACCTGCTGCTTTTACCTGGTCAGGTGTAGCGAGGACATTCTTTACACTTCAGTCAATTCCCCAGAGATGTTTTAAAATGCGATTTGATAATAACGATCTACCTGTGTAACCTCATGTGTTCTTCTAGCCAAACAAAAACAATATAATCTAAACATTATAAACAAAGCAGCAGCAACGCTATGTGTTTTATTGCCTATATTTTAAATTTATCAGAGAACATTCTGTGCTTATTATTTTCATTTAGGTCTATATAGGCTACAGGCTTAATAATAACGTTACGATCTTTGTTTTTCTAACTCACTCTCTCTCACACACACACGCGCGCACACAATGACACACACGTTATTGATATGTTAGATCTCAGTCTGAACAAATTTGCCTCAAGTTGGCTACCACTGCTGTCAATCAAATCTTTCATGAAATATTTGAGAATATTTTAAAATAATACTAATATTTTTTGGGAACTAGTCCGACTCCTAGACCAATAATTATTAAAACAGATTCGGATTAAACGTCAGTATTCGGATGGCTATAACAGGGTCATTTAAAATATGGGCGAGACAGTTTACCTAAAAACATTCAGGCCACAAAGATGCAATATTTTATGGAGATCTGGAAATATGTGCCGTAATAACAGTTATAACGGTGAAAATTAGAGGTCAATGGTAAATTAGCTGAAATGGTTGGAAATGGTCTTGTAATAGGCTATATTTTAGCGCATGCGCAAAGGCCTGAAAGCGCTTTGAACGCCGGTAATTGATTGCAGTATTTTTTTCATATATACAATTATTATTAATAATAGTCTTTAATTTAAATCGAACGACTATTATTAATAATATTGTGATATTGTCATTAAATATACGGTTTTATTTATCTGTAGCTATTCATTCAGGCAGCTACTGGATCTATCAAACTGTCCACATACAGCAGGCACAGATGAATTGCTTTTAACCATCTGACAGTCTGAAGCGTGTTGTGTCGTTCATCACCGGTAGAGGGCAGGCCGTGTCTCGGAGCCCCGGTGAGTGAGTGGCGTGGGCCTCTACGTGCACTCATGTGACCCCGGGGCCGGTTAAAAGCACCGGGAGCCTCCACGCGCACAGCGGGCGACCAGAGCGACAGCGCGGGCGTGAGAATGTCTCTGTACCGGAACTCAGCATGGTTCCTCAAAGGACTCACCGAATTCACCAAGTAAGAGCTGCACTGCTTCAAAAATAACACTTTATAACAACACTAACAAACATAATGCTTCATGGATGCACATCTAATAATATAATATATATAATATAATATAAAATGATTATAAATGATAAAATTTACCATGATATTTTACATTTTATAATTAAAATGTTAAATATAATAAATGTTAAATATTGGGTCAGATTTCAGTCATTCTACAACTGTTTATCTCTCTTAAGTATTTTAATAGAATTTATTTAATGCAATTTTTACTATGAATTCTGTATTTATACATTTGTCCTCATTAGTATGAGTTTGATTAAAGATTATATACAACCAAAAGTATAACAAACAACATGTCCAAATATTTTGATGAATTTCAATTCATATTTAAGGTTAGAAACCTTAAATTTTGAATTTCAATTCATCTAAATATTTCGACATTTAAGATTAAAAACGTCCAGCATTTTGTCTGCAGGCCTACCTGGACTTTTACTCCCACGTTAAATTATGTAAATGCTGTAATTAAAACATTAGCTTTTATGAATGTTAATTTTCTAACATCTAGAAACATTTTTTTAGTCAGTATATGGTGGACCAAAAATATGATGCACTCTTACAACAATTTCTTTAACACATTCTGCGAGCTCAAGGTCAACACATAGACACATGTTGCTTTTCGTTTTACAAATGATTATAGTTTATAGTCTTTCAATGGCCTCTGCATCTGTTTTTTCCTCCTGATACTTTGTTACCCGGGTCGACCTCTCACGTCCCATAATGAGACACACATCACCCTTAACAGTGCACGCATTTACTGAGAAAAGCTTGTTTGCCCCCGCCACCTCCTCGCTCCTCTTCATCCCTCTTCTGGCCTGGCACGCGTGGACAAAGCCAGTCTTTGAGATGCTGATACCAGGAGCGGTGCTATCAGAGGACGCACTGATACTAGCTCTCATTAGCTAAGCCATGACGCAAGGCGGCACATTAGGACACTGCTTAATGCTTCTCAACTGGTTTCGCTTCAGGACATTAGGATGCAAACAAATACAGAACCTCATTTTTTTTATCGTACAAAATTAAATCGAAATCACCACGTACAGTTGAGAAGCTCTGCTTTAAGATTGTTCTCCCATTGCCATGTGCTCCACCTTAAAGGGGTCCTATTATGCCTTTTTACATGTTTATCTTTCTGTAGTGTGTAATGTTGCTGTTTGAGCACTATAACAAAGTGTGCAAAGTCTTAACAGCGGGAGTTATTCTCTATATCAGGGTCAGTGTTTCTGAACTCCCTGAAACGCCTCCGTTGTAGTCTTGAGTTTCTTCCGGGAACGAACACGTCACAATATTCCTCATTTAAAAAATTACCGCCCACAGGATATACAAAATAAAGGGGCGGGGCCTTGTTGAGTTAGTTAGTAGTGTGTTGAAACCATAGACTATAAATAGAAAAAAGATGGATGACGTGTGTCCACTTCCTTCCACTGTAGAAAAATAAAGCCAAAATATCCCAGAAATGGCCGTTGACATCGTTCGGCGATTACGGGCCCCGAGTCGTAGTTGTAATCCTGAGGTGGAGCCACAGTTATTTTTAGGGTGCGTTCACGGCATGTCATAATAACCGTCATTACAAGATTTCAACTTGTAAAATGCGTTCACATCCTGGTCCTTGTAGAGCTTGTAATTACAACTTGAGCGCCTACTTGTACCACCTGACCCCTGCAGATTAATTTAGGCATTGGTATTGTTGCCTGTAGAAACGCAAAATTCAACTCAGAGTAGAAAGTCATGTGTTGTCATCTCAAAATTATGGTAATTATGACATGGCATGAACGCAGCAAATAACTAACTAAAACCAAACATACGTAAGCATGATGAGAACTATCTAAAATGACAGAAATGTTCTTAGAAAAAAATTAAGTTTAAGGCACTTGGATTCAAGATATTTGAAATTCGTGGTTATGATAAGGGCGTGGCTTTTCACAAACACGCTTAAAACGTTTGACCAATCACAACACACTGATCATCCAGCCGACCAATCAGAGCACAGTGTGCTTTTCAGAAGGAGGGGCTTCACAGAGACAGGAACTAAACAGAGCGTTACTGACAGACTGGGAAGAGAGGAGCTGCAACAATAGAGAATATGAGAAAATTATGTGTTTTTGAACTTTCAAACAAGAAAACTTATTCTAGTAGAGCCCAAAAATGAAATCAAGACTTTGTAAAAGGGCATAACAGGTCCCCTTTAAAAAAGTGTGTTCAAAGCATGAACTAATTAGTTAACTGAAGTGATCTAGCAGTGTTTCTGAGGGTGCACCGGTTACCCCGTCACATTTCAAGACTAATTAAATGTGTGTCTCAGGGGGGCGTTTCTGTCGGTATCTAAAAACTTTGTTGAGAAAGACCTGGAGGTGTCGATGGCAGGCCGGTCCTTCATGATCACTGGAGCGAACAGTGGAATCGGGAAAGCAACCGCCATGGCCATCGCCAAGAAAGGTGCGTGTTGGGAAAAACAGCAGTTTTAGTTACTTTTCTTGGGGCCCGGAGTGTAACCTATTGACCATCTTTTTCTTTAAGGTGGTACAATCCACATGGTCTGCAGGAACAAGGACAAGGCGGAAGAAGCCAGAGCGGAGATCGTCAAAGAGTCTGGAAACAAAGTATGAGTTTGTATTTGAATGACTGGGGTTTTTAGGTTGTGGTTTAGTAGTTGAAGGACACAGAAGGCTGTAGAATCAAAACCTAGAAGCTTCCACCAACGTGCCTTTTTGAGCAAGTGATTTATATAATCTGCATTATGAAGAATAATGTAATAGTGTGTAAATAAACAATTTAGCATTTGGACACAAACTCAGTGAATCATTAAAATGACCCTCTTATTTATCTACACGCTGTCTGGAAACAGATTGACATCTCTAGATCTGTTTGTAATGCGAGATGTTTTTATAAAAGGCATGACTTTTGGCCTCTGTGTCTGGTTGCAGGAAATCTATGTGCATCTTTTGGATCTGACTGAGACCAAAAAGGTGTGGGAGTTTGCGGAGTCCTTTAAGAAAAAGTACAAAACTCTCAACGTCCTGGTGAGGCAATCTCTCATCACTCTGCTTTAACAATTGCATATACACTATAGGGTCAAAAGTTTGGGGTCAGTCATTTTTGAAGATATATGCAATAACATAATTTGGCCGATATATTAAAGCCAAATAAATAATGGATTATTTCCTTCAGCTGAGACTCTTCATGGTTTTGAATTGCTTGAAAAATGATTGAAATAAATTGATCAGAAGTGACAGTAAAGACATTTATAATGTTACAAAAGATTTCTATTTCAAATCAATTCTCTTCTTTTGAACTTTATATTCATAGAAGAATCCTGTAAAATCATAGTTTCCACAAAAATATGAAGCAGCACAACTGTTTTCAACATTGATAATAATCAGAAATGTTTCTTCATCATATTAGAGTGATTTCTGAAGGATCATGTGACACTGAAGACTGGAGTAATGATGCTGAAAATCCAGCTTTGATTTTAAAATGTATTCAAATAGAAAACAGCTATTTTAAATTGTAACAATATTTCACAATATTACTGTATTTTATAACTGTTACCAACCACAAACTTTTTGAATGGTGGTGTAAATATAATATTTTGAATAACATTACCAGCCGTTTGATTGGTTGATTGATTTGATTGTGACAGATCAATAACGCCGGCTGTATGATGACTAAGAGGGAGGTGAATGGAGAGGATTTGGAGAAAAGCTTCGCCAGCAACACTCTAGGTAAAGATCTCTGACAGATCTTTCCTTTATAATACGTCTAACAGCTTACCCGACTGTTTTCACCTGACCCCTGTGCTGTGTTGTGTTGTTCAGCCGTGTACATCCTCATCAAGAGCCTCATTCCTCTGCTGGAGAAGAGCCCTGACCCCAGAGTGGTGAGTAAACCAGAGACTGCGAGCGGGAGACAGGGCTCAGACGGGTCACCATCTCTCTCCTCTCTTCCAGATAACAGTTTCATCCGGTGGGATGCTGGTGCAGAAACTGCGAACCGGAAACCTGCAGTCTCAGAGGGGCAGATATGACGGCACTATGGTGTACGCACAGAACAAGGTATATACATACACAGTCAAAAGTAAAGCTTGTGTCCATATACAGAAACACTATTTGTTATGATGCCATTTGCTAGTTTATTCTTTTATGTTATTGAGCTCATTGTTTGATTACTGTACTACTTAAAGGGAACCTATTATGCAAAATTCACTTTTATAAGGTGTTTGAACAAGGATGTGTCCACAGTGTGTGTAAATAAGCAGTCTGTAATGGTAAAAATCCACCCACTCATAAAAATCAGAAACTAATAAATTCTAAAAGTCTCTCCATCCAAAGCATGAGCTGTAAAGGCTCCGCCCTTTTCTGAAAAGGGGGCGGGGAGCAGCGGCTCATTTGCATTTAAAGGGACACACGTAAAAATGCTGTTTTTGCTCACACCCAAACACGGGCAAATTTGACAAGCTTTAATGAATGATCTGTGGGGTATTTTGAGCTGAAACTTCACAGACACATTCTGGGGAAACCAGAGACTTATATCACATCTTGTGAAAAGAGGCATAATAGGTCCCCTTTAAAGTATTTTTGATTAGTATAATTCATATTCAATTCTTTAAAAAAGGTTATGTTGGTAAAATTATTGTAAAAATGATCCGTGACTTTTCTGTTTCTCTGATTTAGTAGCTGATTCAGACGTGACTTCAGTATTTTCTTCATTGGTTGTGTTTCAGAGGCAGCAGGTGGTGATGACGGAGCAGTTTGCTAAAGCTCATCCCAACATCCACTTCTCTGTAATGCACCCCGGATGGGTCGACACGCCAAGTAATTGCAAACGCACAATGATCATAAATTTAAATGACGGAACTGTGCATGTATGATTACAGACGCAGTTTCCAGAGACTACATGGAATATTTTTGCTTAAAGTTGGCATGAAACGGAAGTTGCATAATTCAGCAGTTCAGTCTGAAGATACTAAAAATTAAACAGCATTTTCTAAACTTTGACCTGCTGAGCAAACATTGCATTTGCACGTGATGCATCAGTGTTGTTGCAATGGTAGCTGTCATCGATGAAGGGAACTTTGCATAGCAGTGCACACTGAAAAATAAAGATTTGCAAACATGTTTGATAGACTTTAAAGTCGGCATGAAACGGAAGTTGCAAGTGTCTTTTTCAATAGTCAGTAGTCTTCCATATTGTGACATTTATCTGAGTGAAACGGCTTCTCGAACAAGAACAAATGTAGGGCGGGGCTTGATTGTATGGTTGCGGTTTGCTATTGGTCGATCTCATGTGATTGACAGGTTGCCCCGCCCTCACGCCAGTAAACACATCATCAGAGAAGAGATGTCGCTGTGAGAGGGAGGGGAAGTTATTCTGATTAAAGTTTATGAGACACATGAATTTAGGGGGGGAATGGTCAATTTTGATTTCATGGTGACTTTAAATATGAAGTAAACTGCAATTGTTTATAATAAATAGAGCACCTAAAGCATGCAGTTTCCATCACACATTCGTTTTAATGACATACATTTTAACCTGAAAGCTTGATGTTGAACAAAAAAACAATAGATGTTATTTACAATGAATACATTCTGAGTGGCTTTGGATATAAGCTCCTGCTAAACGCACACATGTAAATATGTATTTATTCAGACCGATTTGAAGACGTCTAATGGATTTGTTCTCGCCTCTTGTTCTTTAGCCATAGCGAACGCGATGCCTGATTTCCACAGCTCTATGAAGGAGCGCTTGCGGACACCGGAGCAAGGGGCCGATACGGTCGTGTGGCTCGCTGTGTCCGAGGCGGCCGTCAAGAGTGCCAGCGGGGGGTTTTTTCAGGGTGAGCAATCACACACACACACACACACACACACACTGGCTGTGTTTCAAAACCTAGTCAGCCACCTTGAGGCCTACATAGGCAGCATGCTAACTGCAAACTAAATCTCATAAATCTCCACGAGCCACACAAACAGCACTACTAATGTGAAGCACATGGGAGACACAACTGATTGCAATAGAGTTTGGCATTAACAGGTTGCTAAAGGAAAAAAAATAATATTCTAAATATTGCATTTTAAATTTGATTAATCGCCTTTTGAATAGATATTTTTAGGAATTAAATCGCTCAGTTTATTGTACTTATAAGTTATATTAAGGCAACATAGTTACACTTTATTTTAAAGTTTCAGTGTTGCACTGTAATTATAGATTTATGCACCGAGTAATAATAATTCACTACATGTACTTACTATAGGTTTAGGATTAGGTTTGGTTTAGTGGCATGTAATAATGCACAATTTATAGAAATTACTATTGTAACATCATGTAAAATAAAGTGTTACCATATTTTCACCAGAACTGAAATTAAGTTCTGTGTAATTATAAACATTAATATTTTACTCAATATTTGTGCATTTTGTGTATCTTTATACTTATTAGAGTATTGCTGTATGTATTAGTGCTAAAACTCTATTGGGATCAGTTTTGAGTTTATTCCTTCATGGTGCACAACATCGCGGCCAGTGTACAGTGAAACCGAGCTGCCGTCTTTCTCTCCGTCTCCTCCAATAAGGCATCCGTCTGTTTCAATATAAAACAAGCGAGCCTTTCAGGAGACAAAGAATGGATGAAAGACGTTGATGAAAGCAAGAAAAGCAGGAGTGGTACAGAGAAGACGAAGAGAATACAAAGGAAGACTGGACAATGAAAGTGAACGAGAGAATGAAAGGAGAAGGAGGGAGGGAGAGAGATGAAGAAAGGGAAAGCGAGTTGGCGGATCTCCAGTGCAGCTGTAGTGGGCAGAGCTTCTGTACCAGACACGACCGGAGTGACTCAAGACGACCTTATGACCTTTGGAAACAGGGAAACCAAGAGTTACTCCAGCACTGCTCAGTCTTTTAATACAAGACACTATAGTTGATAGGCTCAAAATTAAAGAGGCCATATTATGCCTTTTCATAAAGTCTTGATTTTGTTTTTGGGCTCTACTAGAACAGGTTTTCAAGCTTGAATGTTCATTATTTTCCCATATTCTCCATAGTTGCAGCTCCTCTCTCCCCAGTCTGTCAGTAACGCTCTGTTTAGTTCCTGTCTCTATGAAGCCCCTCCTTCTGAAAAGCACACTGTGCTCTGATTGGTCGGCTGGATCAGTGTGTTGTGATTGGTCAAGCGCTTAGAGTGTGTTTGGGAAATGTCCCGCCCCTTACCTCGAGTTTCAACACACTACTAACTAACTCAACCAGGCTCCGCCCATTTATTTTGCGTATGAATTATTTAAATGAGGAATATTGTGACGTGTTCGTTTCCGGAAGAAACTCAAGACTACAATGGAGGCGTTTCAGGGAGTTCAGAAACACTGACACTGAAATAGAGAATCTTAATTTAGGTTTGATTGACCAATACGAATGAACCATTGCAAAACCAGATTGGTGCACCACTATATTTCTGAAGTCATTTATTTATGGTACATAGTCATATAAAGTTACCTAGCGACTGGAGCTTCTGCAAACACTCACTTCTGTGGCATTTCCATGGTAATGACGACTTCCTCGGTCGGTGGATCTTGCTTCAGGATGATATATTTAGAGAGGATTATCATAATTTAACAACTTCTGAATGGAATTCTCACAATCATTCTCTCAACTCAATGTGCATATTGATTCTTCAGCCAATAGGAGTCTTTTCTCCAGACTGCATGTTTTTAACATCCTTATGTGTTTGTTTGTGTGTGTTTTTACATGCATTAGATCGGCAGATGGTGTCGGCTCATCTTCCCTTGGCCTGGACACACAGTTCACAGCTGGAAGATCAGAAATTCATGAGCGTCATGGAGGATCTGGCCAAGGGCTTCCAGCCTCACTAAATACACTCGCATTTAACAACTGCAACACAAATAAATGTAGGACACTAACATCGTTAACTGTTTAGACACATTATTCTCACTCGTAAAAGCAGTGTGAATGTACTTACAGTACCTCACCATAACTTTTAGCTGTAGATTAAAATGTCCTCCTGAGCTCTGAAAGACTGTTATGCTCAATAAATGCTTAAATACGTTTAAGTCTTTTACCACAATGACTACTTCCTGTTTCTTCCTGTTCTGCTTCCTCGTACATTTCAATTCTCTCCTATCATTGGTCACGGCAGACGCAGGATTCGTTCTTTTCCGACAGCTTTGTTCTGACACCATGTGATCAATCTCAGCCAATCGCAGTGCGTTCTCACTCTCACTGTGTCGGTGACTCCAACAAATCAGGTCAATCAGGTGGGAACCCGTTCTGACCGGAGTCACCCTAGCTGTCAATCACTCACTCACGGCCAATCACGTGGTGAAGCACAGGGAACTGTGGGAAAGGACATTTCCTGCTTTTGGGGGCCTGTGATTGGACGTTTCTTTGGTTTGAGTGTGTCACCAGATGTTCCAGAGAATGAGGAAGTGATGTGTAGTTTTTTTATTATTATTTGTTCTGACAATAATGTATGATTACATTCCTACATATATAGACTGTGTTAATAACCATTTAATTATGACATGACTGTAATTTCACACGTTTTCATCCAACATTAATAAATATCTCTGAAGGTGTGATGGTGTATGTGGGAAAGCGAATGCATATTATTTTTTTCATCCCATCTCATGTCTTTTCCATCACTTTTAGGAGTTCAGGAGGATTCACCCAAGAAACGTACAAATAAAAAATAAACAATTTTAAACATGCAATTCAAATGACTAGGAAAAACTATATATACCTTGCATGTGAGATACAGCTTAGAACTTTATTGTAATATTTCGTTCAATCTCTGAATGGGCAGAAACTACCAGTCAGCATTAAGACTTGTGTCAGTATTCATATTAGCGGCAAGAGATTTTCGTATGAAAAATACAGATGTTCGAGCGTTCCAGCACAGAAGCTCAACTTTGTACACATAGAGAGAATAATACTTAAGTACTACTGAAGTAAAGCAAGTCTTAGAAAAAAGAACATAGAAAAACAGGTCTCAAAGTCATTTAGAGTTATTTACAGGTTTAGAGTTCGAGCATTAGAAGCGTGGTGAAATGTACAGTGGTTTCAATGTCTGAAGATAAAGAAAACAAGTTTTTCAATTTTACATGGTGGTTAAACTGAACTGTGATCTCTGCAATACGGTGTGACTCTGAAAGTGTCAGTTTCAGTAAAATAGATGTTAAAGAGATCCACCCAAAAAAAAATATTTCTGTCATCATTTAGCCTACTCACCCTCAAGTTGTTCCAAACTTGTATGAATTTCTGTCTAATTTTGAAGATATTTTGAAGAATATGGTTAGTTAACCAGTTGATGGACCCCATTGACTTCTATGGGAAAAAAAATACTATGGAAGTTAATGGGACTCATCAACCGTCTGGTTACCAACATTCTTCAAAATATCTTCTTTTGTGTTCAGCAGAAGAAAAATTCATACAGTTTTGGAACAACTTGAGGGTGAGTAAATGATGATAGACATTTAATTTTTAGGTGAACTATCCCTTTAAGAACGATATTAAATGAAAATGAAAGATGAGATGAGAAATTACATCTATCCAATCAAATGACACAAAAATGTCATACAAAACACAAAATCTGCTTTTTGTCTCTTCATTCTGTCTCATCTTGGATTTTACACAAAGCAAATATTAGGAAAATAAGTTTATGAATGGGAATTAGATTATTTACAAAGCGCGGGATGTCACGTAGGCCAAATCAAAACGAGCGGTGTGAAGCAAGCGCTTTACAAAGGCACAAATCAGCCATTTAATGCAAACTCTCGCACAAACGCCGCTTGTACCCACAGATCATGAACGCACACAGACTGTGCAATTCAGTGCAAGGAACAGAGAACTCGTCAAGACAATGAACGACCTAGATAACGACTGAGGGAAACTCCAGACGCGATGAGTCAAGGTATCGAAAGTAACGTTAAGCCAGACACAGCGCTGGTCAGTTATAATGTTTGTAAACAGGTTATAGTTCTATCTTCGCATTGGCCAGTGTTACATTAGTGAGCTGTATGTAACTTTAAATCCTCTAAAAGCTGCTTCCAGTGGCACAGCTCGAGTCTGAAGCCCAATCCTTAAAGAAATAGTGCACGCAAAAATGACAATTATGCCATCATTTACTCACGCCGTTTCAAATCTGTATTATTTTCTTACTTCAGTGGAACACAATTTTTTTATTTATATATTCCAAGTAGCTTTGTATCAGGGACTGAAATGCTAGAAATCTCACGTCTCTCAGATCTCATTTGCATATCTATTCGCTGGCGCGAAATAATAATACCACTGGTTGTCTCGTTACTACAGAGCCCATTAAAGTGACACGGTAATAATAAAAAAATCTATGAGATAGGAGAAATATTTTTATGTCAATGTATTTGCGTTCTCTAACAAAATGCTCACAAAACTTGTGAGGTTTTTACAAGCCAACACAAAGGTTTTTTTCTAAACATCTCATATTTTTCCCATCACCATGTCCCCTTAGGATTAGGGGCTCTGTACGTATGCAAATGCAAAATGGCAACTTAAAATATGCAAACAATGAGATTTTAACCACTACTATGAAGAAAAACAAGTCAATTTTTTGGTAATATAGTGCACTTAATACACCGCATAGGTCGTAAAGACTCATTTTATTGTTCATTTTTGGTTGTGGAAGCTATCATTCGGCTTCAGAAGAGTTGTTATATAGTGCACACGTCGTATGGACTCATTTTACAATTTTTGGAGCCCAAGTTCTCATTCACTTCTATTGTATGGAAAGAACAGCATCAACATTCTGCTAAACGTCTAATTTTCTGTTCCACAGAAGAAAGTGAATAAATGTTGACAGATTTTCATTTATGAGTTAACCATCACTTTAATTTGTCCCTAAACCACAGAGAAACAATGACTAGTGCTATAAATAGTGTTTAACAGAAGAACTCTACAAACATTGTGTACTAACTAAATGTGTTTAGTCATAAAATGTTTCATGGATTTTATATGCTACATTTAATTATCCTCACCTACCTGACCTGAACCCGTCTGTCTCTGAGTTTGAGCTTTAGTGGGTTTACAGTGACACTTTTTTGTATGTTTTAGCAAGTTTGTATGAGAATGTATGCAAGTGCTGGTTACTATAGCCAGTAGTGGCACTCAAATTCAAAAAGTGAAAGACAGATAAACAAGACAGATGGATAAATAAACAGGATGTTAGATGAAAAAAATGCTTCCTGTTTGTTAGAATGGTACTTATGCATAGAGGGACACACCGTCCGAGAGAGAGAGAGAGAGAGAGAGAGAGAGAGGGAGAGAGAGAGAGAGAGAGAGAGAGAGAGAGAGAGAGAGAGAGAGAGAGAGAGAGAGAGAGAGAGAGAGAGAGAGAGAGAGAGAGAGAGCAAATATTGTGCTTTTAGAAGTACCTTGAGTTCATGTTCGCTCAAATCCAGGCCATCATACCTCATATGAGCCATGAATGCCTCTGATTCAGAAAATCAAGGACCATCCCAATAACACACACATATTGACATACACCGTATTGAACTGTCCGTTTTGCGTAGACTCCACAGCTGAAGGACGAGAGAGTTAGACATGTAGGTGAGTGTTTCCATGATCCTCGACAGATATCCGTTGTTGGAGTGTGGGCGGAGCCTTCAGAAACAGCCAATCAGCGGGCAGAGAATCCCGCCGCTACACTGCTGCCCACCACCTGCGTCATGTCCCAGATCTGTGGACAGACCAATCAAACGATTAGCAGGGAGGACCAATCAGAGGGCAGGAGAAGACTTCATTCATCAAACACAATCGGAACAAATTTGAGTAAATTGGATTGAAAACCCTTCACACGTAACACGAACAAATAGATTTATGAACAAATTCTATAATATACTAGCAGTGTTATTTTAGTATTATTTATATACAATTAAAGTATTTATTAATATTTTGAATCAGCTATTTTTTATGTTCGGTTTAGTTTTAGTTTTAGAAATTTTGTGTAGTACTTTTGTATAGTACTATAATTTAAACAGTTATTTCAGTTAGTTGCCAAAGCAACATTTCTCATTGTCATTCAATTTAAATTATTAAATTATATTAGGGCTGTCAAATCGATTAATCGCATCTAACATAAAGGTTTGTGTTGATATATATATATATATATGCACACACATGCTTATGTTAGATGCGATTATTCATGATTAATCAATTTTGTATATATAATTTTGAAATAGAATGGGGTAGCGATCAAAATAGAGTAAATCATGTTTAGAAAGTATCTTGATTCTTTAAATAATGATTATATCAATTAAATCATTACACCAGTAGGTGGAGACAACTGACTGTTATTTGTCAATGAATGTATTTGCCAATGAATAATTCATTCAAGAGATTCCTTCAAAAACGCTGATTCATTCATTAATGAAACAAGTGAAGCCTTAAGCAAAAAAATTATAATCATTTTATTAAAAACTAATAATATATATATATATATATATATATCCAATCAAAAAATCAATTCATGTAGATGTTTTAAAATCCTGGCTAATATTGTTTATTTAATTTGTCTCAAGTGAAAATGAAAAGTTGGGTGCATTGCATTGTGGAATATGATGTTTATTGCAGTGTGATCTGGTTATATTCTGCACAGTTTAACAAATGTAGTAAGTCATCTGGAAAGTCTATGCATATTTTAAAAAACCAATTAGCTCCTTCAAGCATAGTCACTAAAACACTAGAATGAAAGAGATCAGGCATGTGTGTATGACCTTAACAACTCGATCAGTCCCACATGTGACCATCAGTCCTCGGCTCGGGTCCATGTCCATGTGAGCGATGTTGTGTTTCCCTTCATGAAACGTAGCCAGAGGAGTCCGACTGCAATGTGCAAATGTAAATACACAAGAATAAGGACCAAACAGAAAAGTAAAGAGAACAGAAAGAAGACAAACTTAAAATAAAACAACTCACTCTTCCTCTTTTATCGTGTCGTAGCAGTCGTCACACATGCGCACCTGGAACTCAAAGCCCATGACGGGGTACGTGGAGCGTTTAGAACTACACTTCCCACAAATGGCCTTGCCACACTTCCTGCAGTGATGCTGAGGACAGGATATGACACGGGCATTACATCGTGAAGCACTGAGACGCTGCATTAACACAGCTTAGAAAGTGCAGATGAATAACAGGCTTAAAGGGATAGTTCACACAAAAATTTAAATTAGCCCATGATTTACTAACCCTCAAGCCATCCTAGGTGTATATGACATTCTTCTTTCAGACGAATACAATCAAGAGTTATTTAAAAAAAATGTCTTCCAAGCTTTATAAATGGCAGTGAATTGCCGTTTCTGTTTTAAAGTCCATAAAAGTGCATCTATCATCATAAAAGTGCATCTATCCATCATAAAAGTGCATCTATCCATCATAAAAGTGCATCATAAAAGTGCATCTATCCATCAAAAAAGTGCATCTATCCATCATAAAAGTGCATCTATCCATCATAAAAGTGCATCTATCCATCATAAAAGTGCATCTATCCATCATAAAAGTGCATCTATCCATCAAAAAAGTGCATCTATCCATCATAAAAGTGCATCTATCCATCATAAAAGTGCATCTATCCATCATAAAAGTGCATCTATCCATCATAAAAGTGCATCTATCCATCATAAAAGTGCATCTATCCATCATAAAAGTGCATCTATCCATCATAAAAGTGCATCTATGCATCTATCCATCATAAAAGTGCATCTATCCATCATAAAAGAACTACACACGGCTCCACTGTTAATAAAGGCCTTCTGAGGCGAAGCAAAGAAAAGCGAAGCGATGAGTTTGTAACATGTTAAATATGAAATATTTTTCTCACACAAAGTGAAATGATGGATAGATGCACTTTTATGATGGATAGATGCACTTTTATGATGGACGGATGCACTTTTATGATGGACGGATGCACTTTTATGATGGACGGATGCACTTTTATGATGGACGGATGCACTTTTATGGACTTTAAAACAGAAACGGCAATTCACTGCCATTATAAAGCTTGGAAGACATTTTTTTAAATATAACTTCGATTGTATTCGTCTGAAAGAAGAAAGTCATATACACCTAGGATAACTTGAGGGTGAGTAAATCATGGGCTAATTTTCATTTATTCATTGGGTGAACTATCCCTTTAAAAGCAAAAGGTTTGAGATAGCGGCGGTACCTGTCGGAGCCCCAGGGTCTTAGTGTCCCACATCTGCTTTATATTCCAAAAAAACGGCTGTTCGCATTTCTGACAGGAATCACTCTCCAGCCACTGTGGAGCCTGAAAACAGAGAGTTACAGAGAGAGAGAGAGAGAGATGACATTTTGAGTCTGAGCTGCTTTCAGGTTACCATAGAGATGGATGTGACTGTAATGACTGACGCAGGGGTTGCCATGACGACACCCAGAAAACTTCATCACTGCTCCATGAATAGACATTTGGCCATGGATGTATTCAAGAATATGTTCTGATATAGGTGTTTGTGTCCAGTGTGGGATTGAGCTTGTACTTCACTGCCCGGCCAAAAAAAGTCGCTGTTTGGATTTAAATAGGCAAATGCTTAAGAGTCTATGATTGGATCATTATTGCAGTGATTATTATGTTTCTAGCATGTTATATGTTTGGCAACAGTTCTTCTAACCCTTATTGATGGAGTGTGTAGCTGTTCATTTCTTAAACAACCATAGGGAGACACATCATGGCCATATTCCAGGATGACAGTCAAGATTCATCAGGATCAAACTGTGAGAGAATGTTTGTGAGGAGCTTGAAGAAGAATCAGTTTCACACATGAATCGGCTCCTCTGAGTCCAGATCTTGAACTCATTGAAAGTCTTTGGGATGTGCTGGAGGAGACTTTACAGAGTGCTGGACTCTCGCATTGACAATCTAACATCTCTACATTTATTTCCATCAAGAGGTGCATTCATTTTTGGTCAAGATCTTGATCTCTCATAGTATGAGCCTGATGAATCTTGACATTGTCATCCTGGAATAAGAAATGAAAAGCTACACACTCCATCAGTAAGGGTTAGAAGAACTGTTGCCAAACATATAATATGCTAGAAACATAATAATCACTGCAATAATGATCCAATCAGCGACTTTTTATTTTTGGCCGGGCAGTGTATATTAATAAAACAGATAGTTCCCGTCCAGGATGCTAATGCTAAAACATGAAATAGTAACATATACGTCCATATATATCATGTCAACTACTGTATAAGCACCTCTTCTCGAGTCGTGTCCATGTTCCACACTGTCATTCCTCCGTCAGCAGAGCAGGACACCAACTGATGGGTCAAGTGCAGATACCTCAACGCCTGGACCTTCTCACTGAGACACAGACAGACACAGCATGACTGACTGGACCAGACAACTGGCTACTCCTGTCACACTTGCGTTCAAATGTTAGGGGTCGGATTCGATGTTTTATAGTTGTTGAAAGAAGTCTCTTCTGCTCACCAAGGCTGCATTTATTTGATCACATTACAGTAAAAACAGTGAAAAATTATTACAATTTCAAGACACTGTTTTCTATTGTAATATATGTTAATACGTAATTTATTCCTGTGATCAAAGCTGAATTTTTAGCATCATCATTACTCCAGTCTTCAGTGTCACATGATCCTTCAGAAATCACTCTAATACAGGGGTCTCAAACTCAACTTAACTGGGGGCCGCTAGAGGTAGAGTCGGGGTCAGGCTGGGCCGCATCAAGTATTCCACAAAAAAATAGTATTCAAGTATTCCAAAAAAGGAGCACAACTGATCCAATCTTCTCAATATTTATTAACGTTTCTTCTGAACTGTTCCTCTGAATTTGAACATTCCTTTCTGTACATGATTGGTTCTTCATGAGCTGTCCTTCTGACAGTTGAAGTTCATTTTACAAACTTTCTTTGTCTATAACACATATTTGTGATATTTATATTTGCTTATGTCCTTTTTATTTTCTTTATACAACACATTAATGATATTGAATGTTTTTTTTGGAAGGCACATTTCCTTTTATTATACTTAGAAAAACAATTATTGCTTTTGAAATACAAATATTTGCAGTCATGTCTGCCCGTCTTATTGAATTCTTTGTATAGTGTCTCAAATTACTGACTGCACAAATCAAAGCAAACCTTCTTATCAACCTGTTGGACACATATTACAAGCTCAAAATGATTATTCTCACATTGTTTTAGAGCAGGGTCTCTCTCCAACACGTCGCTCGCGAGCTGCCAGTAGCTCGTGGCCTGATTGGTGGCAGCTCGCCAAGGGGCCTGTTCACATATCGCGCTCACATATTTTGCGCGCTCAAGTTCGTAATTTCAAATGTAGGCGCGCGGCAAGCGCGCTCATAATTGAAGCGACGCGCTCATTTTTTCCAGGCGCAGTATGTTTGTACTTCGCGGTTGTCTATGACAACTATTGACAACAACCCCTCCGTAAGCTGTCACGAGACTATCTATGGTAGCTCATAAGGGATACTTTTTTTTTTTTTTTTTTTACGCGGCACACGCAACGACGGGCCGCACTAACATTAAACTTTAATGTCAAGTAGGGGGCCACAAAAAATCACCCCGCGGGCCGCAAATGGCCCGCGAGTTTGAGACCCCTGCTCTAATATGATGATTCGCTGCTCAAAAAACATTTCTGATTATTATCAATGTTGAAAAAAGTTGTGCTGCTGTATATTTTTTGCGGAAACGATGATGCTTTCTTTTCAGGAGTCTTTGATAAATAGAAAGTCCTGAATTTAAAAAAGAAATATTTTGTAACATTATTAATGCATTTAATGTCACTTTTAAACAATTTAACGAGCACTTGCTCCATGGTCCGTGGTCTCTTTAATCTCGCTTAATAAAATAATTCAAACAATCTCAAATCAATCTTTCATGTTCATTTACTGACTTATTTTGTTAATATTTATTAAATGTATAGGTAATAAATGTAGAGTCAGAAGGTTATTACAACACACTAAACCCCATAAAGGTCTAGTTTCACCCTAAAGTGATTTATTTTGTGCAAAGGAATCTACGTTCTCTCTTACACCACTACTTTTACACCACACGTTTAGAAGAATGCTCCCGCTCAAAGATAGTTAATGTAACTGAAAGTCATGAAAATCATTAAGTTTCAGTATTTTCTTTTAAAGAAATGGAACTGAAAATAGAGAAATACTTATATTTCTCAATAGTTCTCAATTTTGGTTTCTTATGCAATTCACAGCCTAGTAGCACTATAGCAGTGTGTGTGTGTGTGTGGGGGGTTCTTGTATATATGATTTATGAGGATACATATGTGTAAAATGACATGGGTATTACAACGTAAACATGGTTTATTGTGTCCTTGTAAACCAAATGGCTTTTTAAAAAAAAACATCCAAAACTGTGTTTTTTTAGATAAATTAAGAAAGTTTTCTATGAGAGGTAGGTTTAGGGGTCGGGTTAGTGTAAGGGGAGAGAATATACAGTTTGTACAGTATAAAAACCATTATGCCTATGGAGTGTGTGTGTGTGTGTGTGTGTGTGTGTGTGTGTGTGTGTGTGTGTGTGTGTGTGTGTGTGTGTGTGTGTGTGTGTGTCTCTCACTGGTGTCCCTGCAGTAGTAATGTGCGTCCCTGTCTGCCACCAATGTCCCACATGATCACACTGTGATCAGATGCTCCGGAAAACAGCCACCTCTGAACTGGATCCCAATATAACACAGCAACACTACCTACAGACAGACAGACAGACAGACAGACAGGTGGAAGAGTGTTAAAAAAAGTTTAGGTGTGAAATCAGTACTTTCACAAAACTGTGAAACCAGTTACAAACGACACTCAGATGTGTATATGTGTTGAGAAAAAGCTATAGTTCGGAGACAAAACTGTCCTCAAAAGTGAGCTAAATCTGACCAAATTTCCCTTTTAGCTCTAAACTGCTTAATGTGGACCATAAAGGCCCTGATATACTTCCAGTGAAATCGAAGAACGAACTGGTGTGATGTCATTTCAAAGAAAATCAGGCCAAAAATAAAGGAGTTTGGAGTTTGTTTCAGGGGATTTCAAAACAGCTTGCCAAAGTGAATTTTCCGGAGAGGTTCGCTCTGGCTGGTGAACACCTCTGAACTACCATTGGCACATGGCGATGATGTAATAGGTGGGTGTGGCTCTGAGGCTCCGCCTTCTTTGACTTGGAAATCTTCTCCTTTTCATTTCTTCTGTTCAGTCCAAAACATGAACACACTGGAGAGCTGCTTTACAGTAGAAACTGAGCTTGTAATTCTAATTGAAAGAGACAGACACTGTTTTTTTCTGTAAAGCTGCTTGCTTTTAACCAATCTATTGTATAAAGTGGTATATAAATAAAGTGACGTAACTTGACTGGAAAGCTGAATTGCAGAGTTTGTGCAAACGTATTAAAATTGCTATATCAGATGCTTTCTTTACTGATGTTTTCTCACCTCTGTTATTTTATTTGTTATTTTGTTATTGAGAGGAAAGCGCAAAGCACATATTTACATATTCATCTAAACACCACTCTCAGTGTCGGGATGTTCGCTAACAGTAAACCGCTGGTCACACATTTAAAAATTATTTTTACCTCTTCGTGAAGAACGAAAAAGAACTTCGCCGTGACTATATCGGGGCCTTAAGGTATTATAGACATTGAAAATAGCTATACAAATCAAATTAAAACTTGACCTTTGATGTGGCCATATATACACTACCGTTCAAAAGTTTGGGGTCAGTGAGAATTTTATTTTTATTTTTTGGAGGAAAGAAATCAATACTTTTATTTATCAAGGACAGTAAAGACATTTATAATGTTACAAAAGATTCTATTTCAAACAAATGCTGTTCTTTTGAACTTCCTATTCATCAAAGAATCCTAAAAAAAAAAAAAAAAAAAAAACTGTACAACTGACAGACCAACAACTGTTTCAACATTGATAATAATAATAAATGTTTCTTGAGCATCAAATCCTCATATTATACTGATTTGTGAAGGATCATTTTGACACTGAAGACACTGACACTGGTGATGCTGAAAATTCAGCTTTGATCACAGGAATAAATTACACTTTACTATATATTCACACAGAAAACAGCTGATTTACACTGGAATAATATTTAATACTATAACTGATTTTTGTTGTATTTTTAATCAAATAAGCGCAGCCATGGTTAGCAGAAGAGAATTCTAAGTAAGTATTTAAAATCGTACCGACCCCAAACTTTTGAACGGTAGTGTATATATATCTATATCTATATCTATATAAACGTGTATTTGTAGGCGTGTTACCTTCATGTCCCTTTAGTGTGGTAATGATAGAACACGACTGCTCATCCAGTTTCAGTAGCGTGATCTGCCCTGAATGATCTCCCACAAAGGCATGCTGGGTATCGTTATCATATCTGCATATGTAGTCAAGAAAACAAGACAGAAGAGAGGAAATAATCCTAATAACAAAAATCATATTTAAACCAGTATAAGACACTAGACATTCATTTGCCAATCCATTAATTTATAATGAATCTATTTAGTGATACACGATATATGGGCCACCATATCGGTATCAGCCGATATATTTTCATTTTTAATGCTATCTTTATCGGCCCAATAAGAAAATTTGGCCGATATATTAAAGCTGAGAAAATAATGTATCATTTCCTTCAGCTGAGACACTTCAGATGCGCACTGTTCAACATGATGACCTTGAATTGCTTGAAATATGATTGGAATCACTTCAAAAAAGGAAAGTACAGTTAAGTGCAACATGTGCAGCACAAGTCTTTCATATCGGCTACATAAAATTATAATGAAAACATTATAATTGTGAGCTTGAGACATGGCTTTTAATGGAGAGACTTTTGTTTTTGTAATCAGGCTCTGAAAAATTACATAAAAAAAATGGATTCAGATTTATCGGTCAAAATATCGGTTATCGGCTTTCAGATATAAAGAAGTATCGGTTATTAAAATTTTCATATCGGTGCATCCCTAAATCTATTTAATCAAAATGTCTTTGAAAGATATTCAGGGACTTGTAAACTAGATATGCAGAACTACGGTTTCCACAAAAATATGAAGCAGCACAACTGTTTTCAACATTGATAATAATCATAAATGTTTCTTGAGCATCATATTAGCATATTATACTGATTTCTGAAGGATCATGTGAGACTGAAGACTGGAGTAATGATGCTGAAAATTCAGCTTTGATCACTGGAATAAATTACATTTGAACATATATTCAAATAGAAAACAGTTAATATTTCACAATATTACAGTTTCTACTGTATTTTCGATCAAATAAATGAAGCCTTGGTGAGCAAAAGAGGTTTCAAAAACATTAAAAATCTTACAGACCCCAAACTGGACAGAAATTCTGACCAAAGTGCATACACATTTTAAAGTAACAACAATATAATAGATAATAGTTTTTTATATTATTACCGATAATAATATACAAAAGCAACTGTATTAACACATGTAACGTAACCTCCAACACTGCACACTACCCCTACAGAAACCACTGCGATCCAGAGAAATCGCATGCATAAAATGTAAAAATGCATTAGAAATATTTCTCAGGGAGAGACTGAAGTCAAGGATACTGTAAACAGGAAGCCCATGAGCCGAAGCTGTGGCGTCCCAGCATAGAGCCGCTCTGAGTGCTCATCCAGCTGATGCTTTTATCATGACCCGTACTGATCACCCACTGACTCTCCAGAGAGAAGATGAGGTCCGACACACGGTTCTGATGGGCTGCACACACACACACACACACACACTGGGTGAAAATCAAGGTTCAAAAGGTCTGAGACTATATGTGCGTCCCAATGTTGTGTACTTGTGCACTATTCTATGCCGTTTTGTAGTGTAAATAGTGTGAGTAGTTTGTTCAAACTGAAAAATCCAAATAGAACTTTAAATACTCGAATGATGCACTAAATTAACTGAAAAAACGTGTGGAATGTTGGAACCTTCATGCTCTCAACATTACGATGTTGAATGACAAAATGTCCTTATAAAGTTCATACACTACAACACCGATGAGTACATAGGGGATAAATGCATAGTGTATAGCGTGTCATTTGGGACACAACCTATGTTAGGAAAGGAACACTAGTGTTCATTTAAATAGTATGCGAAACTGTCTGCTTAATGCATGATAAACTGTAGCATGCGACATTGTTGTCACATGATCTCATTTAAATTAGGGTTATTATTGTCAACTAAAATTACTAAAAACAGTTTTGTTAAAAAAAAAAACGTAAAAAAACCCCTAAAATTAGAAATGATGCCTTGGCAACTAATCGAAACACTAAATTATAACTGGAAATAAATAAAAACTAACCAGTAATATATATATATATATATATATTAAAAAAATTACAATGACAAAAGCACAAATAAAAATTAGCCTACAAAAGATTGAACAAAAATTAAAATTAAAACCGAATTCAAAATATTATTCTAATTCAAAATATTAATATTTGAAAAATAAAAAAAAATACTAAAGTTACAGGGGTTTTTTTGCATGCATGTTTAATTAATTATAAAAATATATATATAGTTATTTAGAATTTTAATTAATTAAATTTTTAATATTTGTAATGATTTGGGGTCAAATGTCTTAACCTTTGGCAGTTCAATCAAATAATGAGTTAAAAAAAACAATTATTATTTCGTCACACAGGACACAAAAGATGAAGCCGAGCGAACTGCGATGTGGGATGCAGTATTCCACGAATGGAGGATAATGTGGATCAGTAAGATTCGGCACACAGACACACTTTTGAGATTTTGAGAGTTAGTGTGTTGAGATGTTTGTGAGACGATGTCATCATCTGATGATGTCACTGTGTGTCCTGGTAGGGCAACTAACAGTGTAACTGTATCTGATCAGAAAGGAACATAATGCAGAACACAATACCAGCTAATTCCTTCAAATTAAGTCAACTAAAATATTTGACCGTTACAAGCCGGAATACCGTCTCTCACACACACATGCTTTCCTGGCATTGTCCGGTTTTCTCCAGACACATTTTCCAGAGCAGCTCTGACTCATGCAGCCATAATGATCTTGTGTGTGAGTGTCTAGTGTCTCGTGAACGCTCACATGGGAGTCTTAGCCCTAGGGCATGCTGGGAAAAAAACAAATGATCCTCGAGTGATAGGGTGGGCCAAAGGAAAGTAGGGTAGTGAGTGAGTGAGTGTGTGTGTGTGTGTGTGTGTGTGTGTGTGTGTGTGTGTGTGTGTGTGTGTGTGTGTGTGTGTGTGTGTGTGTGTGTGTGTGTGTGTGTGTGTGTGTGTGTGTGTGTGTGTGTGTGTGTGTGTGTGTGTGTGTCATACAAACAGAGTTTAGTGCTCCAACCCGTCATCTAAAGTATGTTGGGACACTAATGGAAATAACACACAAGTCTCTGGTTTTACCTGGGTATGTTTTTACATGGTTCATTTTGTTGAAATCTTCTGAGATGAGGAACTCCTGTGAGAGACAGAAAGAAGATTACAGAATTACTCGATGGCTTAGTTTACCCTCTTACTCACCCTCGTGTGGATACAAACCCAGATGACTTTCACCTTTTTGTGACACGCAAAATAAGAGCTCTTTTCCATACAGTGATCGGGACACTCAAGATCCAAATAAGGACAATGAAAGCATCATTTATGCATATATTTCAAGTCTTCTGATTACTTTTATGGTGCTTTTTGTCCACAGTCCCTATATAAACTACAGTTCAAACATTAGGGGTCAGTAAGATAATTTTTTTTGAAATAAATTCATACTTTTATTCAACAAGGATGCATTGAATTGATCTAAATTAACAGTAAAGACATTTATAATGTCATAAAAGATTTATATTACAAATAAATACTGGTTTCAACTTCTATTCATCAAACAGCCAATAAAAAAAGCAACTGTTTTCAATATTGATGATAATCATAAATGTTTCTTGAGCAGCAAATCATCATATTAGACTGATTTCTGAAGGATCATGTGACGCTGAAGACTGGAGTAATGATGCTGAATATACAGCTTTGATCACAGGAATAAATTACACTTTACAATATATTCACATAGAAAATACTTATTTTAAATTGTAATAATATTAATGATTTTACACAATTTTTTTTAATCAAATAAATGCAGCCTTGGTGAAAAGAAGAGACTAAAATCATTTAAAAATAATAATTAAAATAATTCTAACCAACACCCAGTTTTTAACAGTAGTATACGTCCATTGTATCAAAAAAGAGCAGTGTGAAAATTCGGCTAAACATCTTAATCTGTTCTCCGCAGAAAACCATACAGGTTGGGAGTGAGATTTCTTTGGGTGAGCTATCGCTTTAATTGACAGATATGTACAGTTGCCCTCATACAGGCATCTAAAGAGATTCGGCTGCATATCTCGACGGCCACGTCTCAGTCTGAAGAATCCTTGAAATGCAGCCTTCGTTTCGCATCCTTTATTCGGCTCATTTTGAAGGATATCCTTCAATAACCCACAATCCTTTGCACACATTCCAATTCACGACACATAACTGATGGAAAATGAGTCTGCACTGAATGAAATGTAGGACGTTTTCGGAGATTAAGGCATAAATGTTATATTTTATTTTAGCCTACAAGCCTCAGAAGGACTAAAGGACACAACCTCACTAGGGTTGAGAAGCACATAGAGATATAATATTCAACATTTGATAACACTTAGGCCCTCGGGGTGGGGGCGATACAGTGACACTTACCACAACGGCCCCATTGTCCTGTCCTATGAAGATCCGCTTGCTCTCATGGTGATATGACATACAGGAACACGGAGCTGGACAGAAAGAGAAACACTTGATCTACTTCCTCTGAGATTTGATTTCTGCTGCTTAAAGGTGAAGTGCATCATTTCTGTGCAACTAGCGGCACCAAAAACAACACTTCGGTTCTTTAATTGAAAGCTAAAATAATAGAAAATATAAATATTAGACCTGAACTTTAAAAAAACTTAGAAATGCTGCCTTGAAAACTACTGGAAACAGGTTGAAGTACTATAGTCTAGAGCTGAACGATTAATCGCTAAAAGATCTGCGTTCTGACCCAGAGAGAGCGGTTCTCATGTGTAGATATGAAACAGCTTCACAAACAGTCTTTTCAACCACACAGTATCAATATTTCTGTCTTACAATCATTCAGATTATTTCAGAAGTACTGAGATAAAAGTTTATAGTTCGGATATAAACACTGATGTCTAGGGAAGCGACCAAAATTTGCACTTCAATTAGCAATTGTATCATTACATCGTTTACGCCAGTAGGGGGCGACAAGAGAATGTGCAAAATATGTACGTGTCATTGAATCATTCATTCAAGAGATTCGTTCAAAAACGCTGATTCATGAATACAGTAATGAAACAAGTGAAGTATTTATCATTCACGCAAACCGCTTTTCTTTTTAAATAATCCATTGAAATTAATTCAACATTTTTAAATAGACTGCAGCGATTAACATTTTGTCTGAACCTCTAGTAGAGAATTACATGTTATTTCGTTTAGTTTTCTGATCAGAATCGTGGGAGAATCGTGATCTCTTTAAAAAAAAATAAAAAACGTCATTCTCAATTTTTCTAGAGTCGTGCCGCTCCAAGTACCACTAAATCAAAAACTGAAAATAAAATACATTAAAGCTAAATAGAAATATTAGACTAAACTAATAAATATGACAAAAATCACATTTCAAAATGACTAATTTTAAAATAAAGCTAATCAAAAATACTAAATAAATACTATAAAAGTATTTTTTTAAAAATTACAATTTTTCTCCAACAATCCTCCTTTTTCTCAAACACAGATCCGGTTTGATCCAGAATTTGACATGTCAATCAACTCAAACAAAGAGAGCAATGGCACATTAAACCTTCATGCACTTACTGGTGACACTGGTGAATGTACAGTGTGTGAGACAACAGGAGACTGTGTGTTAAAGACGTGTTAATCCTCAAAGTGTCAGTCACGTCAAACCTGCTCTCAGCATATTTGTAGGGGTGGGGGGAAAAATCGATTCTTAGATGCATCGCGATGCGGACGTGGACGATTCTGAATCGATTCACAATTGTCAAAAATCGATTTAAAAAAAAAAAAAAAAAATTTTTTAGATATATATTTATAATAACGTAATATTGACGGAACGCGAAAGACGGAACTCTGAAGTGCGGAAGTGCAGTGGCCGGACCGTCTGTGGCGTGCACGTAACGGACGCGGACGCGATGGCTGAGCGCCAAATCCAAACACCCTCCTCGTTAAAAGCTGACGTGTGGAAATATTTTGGCTTCTGAAGTTGAAGGGGGAAAGGAGCTGGACAAGAGCCACACTAGTTGTAAGCTTTGTAGAGTAAAACTAAAATATTTCGGAAACAAGACACATGAAGCCAAATGACACGTTTCCAGCCAGAGGAGGAAAAACACTCGGCTGTAACGTTACCGGTCGTTGTTATATTATTAATTTACTACAAATATGCTGCTGCTAGTTCAGACACACATGTATTTTCCTGTTGGTTCTTTGCAATGTTAATAAAATATATTGTACGTTAATTCTTTATGGGTCATTACTTTGTACTTTTAAAGCAAAGTATTTATAGTCACACACACACAAAAAAAAGATTCTGATAATCGATTTAGCATCGAATCGCAGCCCTCTGAATCGTAATCGAATCGAATCGTGAGGTGCCTAGAGATTCCCACCCTATTTGAGATTACATTCACTTTCATTGTAAAGAAAATGACAGCGTGAACATTACGCTAAACACACTCCACTGTTAGGAACATATTACGAGTGAGAAATGATGACAGGATTTTCCTTTTTGGTTAAGTGATACTCACAGGACACCGTGTGGTAGATGCTGGGCCAGTACTGTCCACTGTCCCGCTTCAGCCAAACTCGAATCGTCCTGAAATAAACAAACAAGACATTCAAATAAGACTTGAAATACCATATAAGAATCATCTCAAATTAATATTAATTATTTGTTTGGAACATGAAAAGAAAGTAATATACACTACCGTTCAAAAGTTTGGGGTCGGTACGATTTTAAATACTTTTAAAAGAATTCTCTTCTGCTAACCATGGCTGCGCTTATTTGATTAAAAATACAACAAAAATCAGTTATAGTATTAAATATTATTCCAGTGTAAATCAGCTGTTTTCTGTGTGAATATATAGTAAAGTGTAATTTATTCCTGTGATCAAAGCTGACTTTTCAGCATCACCAGTGTCAGTGTCTTCAGTGTCAAATGATCCTTCACAAATCAGTATAGTATGAGGATTTGATGCTCAAGAAACATTTATTATTATTATCAATGTTGAAACAGTTGTTGGTCTGTCAGTTGTACAGTTTTTTGGGGTTTTTTAGGATTCTTTGATGAATAGGAAGTTCAAAAGAACAGCATTTGTTTGAAATAGAATCTTTTGTAACATTATAAATGTCTTTACTGTCCTTGATAAATAAAAGTATTGATTTCTTTCCTCCAAAAAATAAAATTCTCACTGACCCCAAAATTTTGAACGGTAGTGTATAATAGAATATTTATATATATATATATAAAAAGCCTCAAACGTAGGCTAGATATAATAAAATATAATTATTGCTTTCAAATCGATTAATCGCCATTAATTGCATCTAACATAAAAATTAACATATATGGGTGTGTGTATATATATATATATATATATATAAAAATGAAAAATAATATATGTGCGGTCAAATTGATTAATCGTGATGAATTGTTTCTAACCTAAAAATTTTAGAATATATTTGTATATGTATGTATATATATATATATATATATATATATATATATATATATATATATATATATACACACACACTATGTATGTATACATGTATTTATATATATATATTTGGGCTGTCAAATGATTAATCACATCCAAAATAAAAGTTTTTTTTTACATAATATATGTGGGTGCACTGTGTATAATTATTTTGTATATATATAAATACACACACATGCATGTATATTTAAGAAAAAAATATTATTTATATATAAAATATTTATATTTATATATAATATAAATTATATATAAATCTATATACAGTATATACATGAAAATATTTCTTAAATATATACAAGCATGTGTGTGTATTTATATATATAAAATAATTATACACAGTGCACCCACATATATTATGTAAAAAAAACTTTTATTTTGGATGTGATTAATCATTTGACAGCCCTAATATATATATATATTTTTTTTAAATTAGGTTAGATGCAATTCATCACTATTAACCCTCTGATGTTCTTCGGGATTATATTATATTATTTATTGCTGTCAAAATAACCATGATTAATAAAATCTAACATAAGTTTTTATATATATATATATATATATATATATATATATATATACACATATACACACACACACTATGTATGTATACATGTATTTATATATATATATATATATGTATATATATAAACTTATGTTAGATTTGATTAATCGTGGTTATTTTGACAGCAATAAATAATATAATATAATATAATAATATTATAAAAAATAGCTGAAGTGTGATGGTCATGCACAGAAACACACACACGTGTCTCCAGAGCAGCTGAACTCTGTTCGTTTAGTTTCAGTTCCTGCTAAAACCTCAAGCGTTTCATATGTGTGTGTGTGCACCTGCTCTCACATGGCGAATAATGCAGGTAATCAGGACATGAACACACACGTCTCTCCGACTACACGAACACCGTTCTGTCGAGCCAGAATCATTCAAATGTCAAATATATTCAGAGATGAAAAAACTCAGTCCATAGGAGCAAAGCATGTTCATTCACAACTATATAAATGATTCAAACTCATCTCTGAGATGTGCTTCTCTAACGCCACGTGTTGAACTCTGGAGCTGTTTTCTAGCTAACTGATCATCTTTAAGCTTCCCGTAATGGCCATCTGGAAACACATGCTGTCGATGCCAGTTGTTTCTCCTGTTTAGCATTTAAAAACATGTTTAAATCCCATTTTAAAAGGATGTCATTGTTTTGAAACATTAAGACGAGTATGTTGAAATGCATGAAGACATCAGATATGATTTCCCTTGCAGAAACAAAGCAAGAGAGGAACTTAACCGACGTCACTGAAAGAAGATTTCTTAAACCAAAGGTGCTTTGCTGAACTTTTAGGCTGACAAAATATCCAAAACCCCAGTAACACTTTCAGATAATGTTGTCCCACGTACAGTTGAATTTAAAGTAGTAAATTATGGTTATTTTTCTTACAAAAACGCACCGATTCACTTCAGAAGGCCTTTATTAACCCCCTGGATCCATAAGGATAACTTTTATGATGGAAGTTTTTATGGGCTTCAAGATCCAAGTTACCATTCACTCCCATTATAAACCTTGGAAGACCCAGGATATTTTTTTATATAACTCTGATTGTGTTTGGCTGAAAGAAGAGAGTCATAAACACCTAGGATGGCTTGAGGGTGAGTAAATTATGGGATCATTTTCATTTTTGAGTGAACTAACCACTAAGTTGCATTTTCCATAAAAACCAGGTGAACAACAGAAATAATATTATCCAAAAATACATTTAAATGGAGCACAATATCTATGTTAGAAAAACGTGTCAAAATTACCATGGTAACCACCTTTTATTAAGATAATAATATAATATGGGATGTTCTTCAAAGTGTAAGAAGCTGTCAGTAAATCAGGCATCGTCAAGCTACCACAATAACTACAATAATCCACAGTAGTAATAAATAAAACATAGTATATGGGCCTGTAATCTATCCTCATACTTGATAGCCTAAGTCCAAAAGACATTTCATAATATGAAATCATGACATAAGCTACCAAGTCATATTTATGAGATAACTTTCCAACTTATCATATTTTCAACTTTTCGTCTCAGAAATATGACTATAAAGTCAGTTCTACTGTATAGTTCAGTTCAGTTCAGTTCTGAAGTATAAAGTCAGTTCTACTTTTTACGTCATAATTATGATTTACAAAAGCATTTTTTTTCTACTGCTGCAGAAATGCTTCCATTTACTACAATTATTGTTAAGTGTAAAATCTAAATAAATGAACACAAGATCTTCAAACACTGTGGGAAGCTTTAAGTATCATTCTAGTTTTGATTTGTGGTCACATTATGGCAGTTGTGTGGCAAACACGTCACACACGTGTCACGTAGCCTATCACATTTTTACTGTAGTACACATATCCTCTATGATGACCATGGTAATTCATAATTCATCTTCAATTCTGAAGTTTTCAAGCAACAATCTAGCTTGTAAACTTCAAGTGCATTCAAAACACTAACAAACAGTGCCATGATGTTTTGGACATGTATCATGGAAGTAACGTTACCCTAAACATGGTAATCCTATAGTACCATGGTATTACCATGCCCCGCTATTCTTGTAGGAGAATAATCACGCATGTTTTAAAACAAATAAACAGATAAACGAGACAAGTGTAGATTTCAGCGTTGTCACATTCTGTGTTCGTGTTTACACGGGCGCGTGTAACGTTAGTTACCTGTCCTCGCTGACCGTAATAACCCCGTCCTCCTTCGGGATCAGCACGGCCGTGTTCACGGTGTCGCTGTGGCCCTCGATCTTGTTTAACAGGACGGGTCTGAAGCTCTGAGGCCTCGAGTGGATCTCCGCCGCCATCGCTGTTTTCCCCTCGATTCCCTCTCTCTCTGTGTGTGTGTGTGATGATTCCTCCTCTCGAGTCAGCTGAGCGTTCAGCGTTGAGGAAGTTCAACCGCAACAGCGCGATACCGTAACTCTCCGTAAAAACGCGTCCGTTAAAAAAACACAAACACCCCCAGATAGCAGACGCACGTCTTCAAGATGTCTGTTGAAGATCACTTTGTCTGGAAAGCATCTGCTGTTTACTAACATCTGATAGACGTCTTTAAGATGTCAAAAAAATATTCTAAAAGATAAACATCTCAAAGACATTTGAGATGTCTATTTGACATCTGACAGGAAACGTCCTAAAGACGTCTGTGTGATGTACGTGTGCTATCTGGGACCAAGGTTTACTTCCAAACTATGCTGTATAATTTTAACAATTCAATTCAAATTTATTTGTATAGTGCTTTTCACAATACATATTGTTTCAAAGCAGCTTTACAGAAAGTGCATTTCAGAAATGTACATAGAAAAAATACAGTTAGTTAATCATGTATTAATTTAGGGCATATCGCCGGCGTTGAGTCGTCTCTTCATGGGCGTTTAGTAGCTCGTGTGTACATCATTTTTGTGTCTGTCATCGTGTACCATAAATTATTAATGGATTTTTTTGCAAACAGGGCCTAAAACTAACTTTTTTTGTTGCCACACCTGCCAATGACCAGTGATTTAAAGGGGTGGTTGGTTGATTGTGATTTCACTTTTCTAACTTTAGTTAATGTGTAATGTTGCTGTTTGAGCATAAACAACATCGGCAAAGTCACAACACTCAAAGATATTTGCTTTTAAAGAAATCCCTTTTTTAGGATTTTTAATCTCATATAGATGCTGTCTGTATTTGAATGCCAATTTTACTTCTTGCAAGAAATAAACATTTACTAATTTGACTTTTAAGGGGTTTCCACTTGTCTCCTTCCTCCTAGCTTTTCGAATAGAATTATATCCACAACACGTGATTTATAGATTATCATGACAGAATATGCTAATCAATGACTAGAAGATAACTTCACATAAGCAACAAATTCATCAACTAACCATTCAGAAATGTCTACATGTTGTCACTTCTTCTTGAGTCTCTCCATCTTTGTCTAACTCTGTTTTGAACATAAAAGGCTAAAAGTTTTTGAAATTTTCAGGACACAAGCTCTTGAAGCTCCGCCCCCTGTTCCGTGAGCAGCAGCTCATTTGCATTTAAAGGGACAGACACAAAAACGGTGCGTTTTTGCTCACCCGTTGATATAAAAATATCTGTGGGGTATTTTGAGCTAAAACTTCACATATAAACTCTGGGGACATCAGAGACTTATTTCACATCTTGTGAAAAGGGTATTATACCACCCCTTTAAGAAAATGTAGGCTACCGGCCATAAATATTTTTTACCAGCCAGTTATGATGCAAAAAATCTTAGATACCAGTAAAACATCTTTTATGTAAAATATCTTATTCAGGACAGTACTAAATAAAAAAACATGCATTTTGTATGATCCCCCTCATTTTGTTAAAATAATTAACATTTTGCAGATTCCGCAAGGTGCATGTAACCTTTTGAGCATGACTGTATCGATGTACTTTATTAATATCAGTTTTCAGTAATTAATTACTAGCTAATTACAGTGTAATTATTTTACTGTACTAGTTCATCTCTCTAAAAAGTATTGACTACTTATTACTAGGGGTGACCCAGAATAGTCGAAGATTCGATGCTTCGATAGGAGGAGCCTGATTCGACTACCAATCTCACGGTCGAATCTTCGCAGATGTGTTGTTAAACGAGGATTATGTCATTTTGGCTATATGAGTGTGCTCAATGTCTGATTTCACATAGAACTACTGGTTTTCTGTCAATACGTTAATATACAGCCTATTATGATAATGCTGTCAATAAAAATGTGCAAAGAAAGAAGCTTTTAATAAATATTTTTTAACGTGCGTGCAGCGTGAATAAATCCAAACACCCCGTGAGCCGTGACAGATTTAAGTTTCACTTTCGATCCGTGACCGACAGAGGAGCGTCTTGTCGGCAGGGATTTAAATCTTTGAAAATGTCTGGGATAAGAAAATCTAAATGCACACCATCAGAAAGGATATTCTCCAAGGCTGGATTTTCATTTTCATCAGGAAAACCATGATCGCACTTCTGCCGGCCAACGTTAACAGGTTTTCCTCGGGATGTTCTAAAATGCCTAACGTGAAAAAAGCTTTTAAAACGCTTAAATGGCACTTTTACGAGCGTAATGTATGTACAAAGTAGGCTACACACCTTAAGAAACCATTCTATGTGCAGATAAGCAGATGAACCCAGAATATGAACGCAACGCGTTTCTCCTATAGAAAGTCACGTAAAGCTTTTTCTTTAACGGTTTTCAATGGGAGGAAAATGCTTAACGTAGCCTATAATAAAACGCGTTGCGTTCATATTCTGGGCTCATCTGCTTTTCTGTAGACTATATAGTATGCTTTATTAATAAGGTGTGTACAGAATTTGATCTTTTAATATAACAGTTTTAGGACAAAGCCGTTAAGCGTTTTTCACGTTAAGCGTTTTAGAAGGTATTTTATCCGCGCACACAATTTTGAAAGACTCAAACGGACACAGGCCGAGTGAAAGACTGGATTTTGTTTTTTCGATCAGGTATGGGTACAAGTGATTTCAAAACATTTCAGCCGGTTCTAATTTGATTTTTGGATACTGTACACGTTTAGCTAAAAAGACTGCCGCTCCAGTTGAGCGTTTATTGTTGTTTCTGCTGTTAAAAAGACAAAGTTGACAATCCTGGCCATACTTTCGTTATTTTAATAATTTCTTTATTTTTATTTTATTAATTGATCACTCAGGGTGATCTAATTTAACTATTTGTGACTTGTGTTATGAATATTTGTTCCCCTGCACTTTAGGCATTTTGCACACATTTGTTCTGCTTCTTGTGACTTGATTCTGACTTATTTCGTTTTGTATTTTTATTTATTATAAATGTATATTGTGTTCTTAATTGTTGATTATTTTTCAGTGCATCGATGTTGCGCTGTAGGCCTACTTAGAGCATGCTCATACAGGCAATTCAGCCGATTTAATTTGCATGTAAAATGCAAATCCTATCTAAAGTGTGGCCTTTCTGCAGTTATTTATGTTATTTCTTAGTTTTATTGATCAAAAATGTTTTTATACATTTTCTTCTATATCTTTGTGTGATGTTCTGTACATCGCGGCATTAAAATGTTAAAGCCCCGCCCCCTTCCCAACACCACACACATGATTCGACTATTAGTCGACTATAGGCAGGACTTGACGAATCTGATTCGACTATGAAAATCCTTAGTCGGGGACACCCCTACTTATTACTTTCTAAATCCCATATCAACCTCGATCAGTTGACAAATACAAGGATAGAAATAAAACTGCTCTTTTAATTCTTACAAATAAACAATTGCCTAATTTATTCTTGAACTGACCAAAGTGTGTAAAGCGAGAAGGTTACATTAAAAACATACATTTTAACATTACATTTTGATGTTAAATCCAATATTGTTTTGTATAGATTTGTTGTATAGTCTAAACAGTATTTAATGCAATTACATCAGAAGGAACTATAATTAAATTACAGAAAAATTAAAAGTAGTCTACTTTACTTTAAGGGAAAAGTCATTAATTTGAGATTAATAAGTAATTAATTACACCCAACACTGATTAAAATATTACATTGAGCATTACATGAATGTGAAATTATTATATTAAGTTACAATATTTACATTTATATTATTTTTTGATAATTATATGTAATTGTGCATATATTTAGCCTAACATTTGTATAAATATAACATAGTATACATTTAATATATTATAATATAAGTACAACAAAACTAATTTTGTATTTGTTCTGAAAAATGTTAGCACTATTATTTGTTTAAACCAATTTTACTTTAAATCACCATTATACATGATATGGACTATAGTTTATTAGTGAACTTGTCTAACTATTAATAGTATCTAGTATTATATATCAGTGTTAATCAAACATAATAAATACAACTACAAAAGCGACAAAACAAGTACATTTAGTGTACTTTATTAAATAAAGAACAAATGTTGTAAAAAGTCGTCTGAGATTTGGAAAAGACAAAGTGAACCAGTTTAAGTACCTTATTTAATAAAATATAACTCGATGCAGGAAAATGTATCATTAATATGCCAAATAAATTGACACTATTAAGAACAAAAATGATCTCAGTTAAAGTTAAACAAAAGTTATCTCAGCATTTAAGTTGCACACATTTTGTGAGAACGTTTGCATTAGACACAAATTATAAACCATGTATAAAATCTTATAAAATGTTCCCCAAGAATATAAAGAAAACAGAAATGCAATACAAAGACAAAGTAAAAATTATGGTAAAAAGACACTTGAGAAATTGAATAGGCACAGAACACGCAGTCCAGGACAAAAGTTTAAAATATCCATGCGTTTGTGTGCGTGTGTGTGTGTGTGTGTGTGTGTGTGTGTGTGTGTGTCACTGATGAGACATACAGGAAGAAACCCCTATGATCTCCGGGCTCAAGGTTTGTTGATCTGGCCAGCAAACAGGATGGTTCCTGAGAGGAGAACGGGATCAGATTTCACAGTCAGGACATTTTAATATTACAGATTCATAACTATGAAACAGATATGAGCGGTTTGTGTGTGTGTGTACCTGTAGCATTGTGTCTGATAAGAAACAGGAATGGTCTGTCCACAGCCATCCATGGAGGAGAAGATCGGGCGTGCAAGATTGCAGCTGAGATGAGAGAGAACACGTGGATCATGACCACTGGTGAAGGCTGATTGTGAGTTGCCAACAACTTCTGACTTTAAAAGCATTGATGACACAGTGACTTACTTGTGGCAGCAGAGGCTTTGGTTCCATCCTCATTGACCTCTATCTTGGCTTTCTGAAGGGCTTTGGACACGTAAACAAACTCTGAACCTGTTGCAAACACAAACATAAAGACTACACTTTTAACACAATATAATCATCAAATCTTTTGTGATGTTGCACAGCAATAAACAGTCATACATGTTATTTGTATTAGTTATTAGTATTCATAACCATATAAAATAATCTGTATTCAGCTAATAGAGCAGATCTGCTACATCCTAATTTCATCCATCCACCATAGACAGTCATCATGTCATTTCATCAGACGGCCACACTGGGGCAACAGAACAACACTTCAAACTGCAGTGCCAGCTGGGCCTCCAGCGCTTGCTAAACCCCTTCCTTCCTTCCTATAGTTCAGAATCATCTTCTTTAGTTCATAATCATCTTCTTTTATACTCTTTCTCTCTGTACTTTAGTATGTATTTATATCTGTCCCTCTCATTTTTCCACAGATTCTCTTGGCCATTTCTGATATTTTCCAGCTTGATACTTAAACATTGTATGAAAGTCCATTTCCACCACACACACACACACACACACACACACACACACACACACACACACAAATCATCCTTTGGTAAATCATAATTATAACATAAAATATATTAATTATGAGAATAAAAGCCATGACAATAAGTCAAAATGATGTTGTAATGTTGAGATACTAAATCATAACTACGATATAAAAAAGTCATTACAAAAATTCGAAATTATGACAAAAAGCAGTCTGACAGCCAAGAAGATTATGACAAAAAGTTGTAACAATGATATATTAAGTCAAAACTATAATATAAAAAGCCATAATTATGACAAAAAGTTGTTATTATAAGATACTAAGTGATAATTATAATAATAAGAAAGCCCAAAATTATGACGGTCAAAATTATGACAGTCAAAATTATGACGGAAAGTTGTAACTATGATATATTACCGGTAAGTCAAAACTATAATATAAAAAGCCATAATTATGACAAAAAGTTGTTATTATAAGATACTAAGTGATAATTATGATAATAAAAAAGCCCCAAATTATGACAAAAAGTCAAAATTATGATGAAAAGTTGTAACTATGATATATTAAGTAAAAACTATGATATAAAAGTCATAATTATGACAAAAAGTTGATATTATAAGATACTACGTGATAATTATGATAATAAAAAAGCCCCAAATTATGACAAAAAGTCAAATTTATGATGAAAAGTTGTAACTATGATATATTAAGTAAAAACTATGATATAAAAGTCATAATTATGACAAAAAGTTGATATTATAAGATACTACGTGATAATTATGATAATAAAAAAGCCCCAAATTATGACAAAAAGTCAAATTTATGATGAAAAGTTGTAACTATGATATATTAAGTAAAAACTATGATATAAAAGTCATAATTATGACAAAAAGTTGATATTATAAGATACTACGTGATAATTGTGATAATAAAAGCCAAACATTATGACAAAAGTTGACATTATGAGATAAAAAGTCATAACTATGAGACACCAGGTCATAATTATGAAATAAAAAGTCAAAATGATGGAAAATGAAGTAATTATTATGACATTAAAATTCATAATAATGACAAAGCCAAAACTTCTGATGTAAATAGTAACTATAATATACTAAGTTATAACTATGATATAAAAAGAAGTCATAATTATGACAAAAAAAAGTCAATATGAGATAAAAAATCATAACTTTGAGATACTAAGTCATAATAATGAGATAAAAGGTCATAATTATGAAAAAATCATAATTTGAGAGTCATAATAATGACTCTCATCTCATACTTTCAACTATGATTTATGATGACTATGATTATGATTTATCAAAGGATGACGTTTGTTTTCTTACGTGGCACAAATTAGCTTCCATAACACTGAATTTCTGCCCTCGTTAAAATACTTTGGCTTTTCTAAACACCAAAAATCAAGGTTTAAGAACAGAAAGGGCTCACAAAGTCATCATTTACGCATCTTCACATGGTCCCAAACCTGTATGACTTTCTTCTATTGTCCATACAATGATATTTCATAGTGCCTGTCAAGCTCCAAAAAGAGCTTTTATGATCGTTTTTGACTGACATGTTTTTGTACGGGGGAAAAAAATCTCCTTTTGTGTTGCATTGAAAACATAACATGTGTGTGTTTCTTTTCTGGGTGAACTTGAACTATGACTTTTAGCTTTTCTTTGATTCACTGCTGGCAGCAATTGAGGTTAAAGTTTGTGGTTTCACAGCATGAATGACGGTAATAAAGCAAAGGCTCTGAGGAGGATAGTCTGTTTGGAGCTCATCTGGCACTGGGATAGTGACCAGCCACTCTGACTCATTTTCACACATCACTGAGAGACGTGATTCATGCGGCTGAAGTTCACAGTCAACAACCAACGATATCATTAGTTCAAGCACAAACACATGAACTCATGAACGCATGACTGACAGCTGTCACTCACTCAGGTGTCTGAAATCAGCTTTGCTCTGACTGAAGATGTTTTTGATTCCCATCGCTGTAAGAGGAGCCTCCAAATCCACCTCTTCGTCGGCTGTGAATCTACTCGAAGAAGAGGAGACAGACAGACGCCGTTATTAGTGGTGCTTGTCCTGGCTAATAATGAGTCCACAAAGTATGTCAGATTCACTACAGGTCATACTAGTATTGGTATTGTGGGTTATGTTATGTACCCACAATAAATTATGTTATGTTTTAATTATGTTAACTAAAACTAAAAAATTTATTAATTAGTTTTTGTAATTGAAATAAAATAAAAAATACTAAATAAACATGAGATAAAAAGCCAAAAGTTACAATGACATAAAAAGTCGAAATTATGAGATACAAAAGTCATTATAGACAAAGTCAAAATGATGAGGAAAGTCAAGATTATAGGATAAAAAGTCCAAATGATGACAGTCAGAATTATGAGATAAAAAGTCAAAATTATGACAGTTAACATTATGGCATAAAGTCAAAAGTATGACATACTAAGATCATATTTATGAGATAAAAAGTCAATTATGGCAGTCAAAATTATATACTAAGTGAAAATAATGATAAAAAACTCAAAATTATGACAGTCAAAATGTCAATTACAACAGTCAAAATGATAATATACCAAGTCAAAATTATGATAAAACGTCAAAATTGTGACAGTTTAAATGATGACATACCTACTAATAAGTCTTAATTATGAGATAAAAAGTAAATTATGACAGTCAAAATGATGTATTTAAAATTATGTCGGGTCATAATTATGACTTAAAAAGTAAATTAGCACAATCAAAATTATATACCAAGTCAAAATTATGAGATATAAAGTCAAAATTATGAGATAAAAGTCGAGAGTATAGCATAAAAAGTAAAAATGTTGAGATAAAAAGTCATAATTATAAAAAATAAAAAAATCAGACATTTGTATCTCATAATTGTGACTGTGATTATTGCTCAAATAATGACTTTTTTTTCTTATGTGGCAAAAATGAGCTTCCATAACACTGAATTTCTGCACTTTGCATCTATTTCAGCTTTTCTAAAGACTAAATCCAGGTTTAAGTATGTAAAGGGTTTCAAATATAAGCCTAGTCCACCAAAACCAATCAACATCCTGTCATCGTTTACACACCCTCATGTCATTCATAACCTGCATGCCTTGAGAAAATATCAGACGCAAACCTTCAAACTTAAAAATTAAGCAAAAATTCGCTGTTTGCATAAGTTTTAGTTGAAGTACTACAATTAGTAAAAATAAAATAAAATAAATTAATAATATATAGAAATATTAAAAAAGATACAAAAAAACTAAACTAAAATTACAATGGAAACTGAAAATATAAAAATTAGAAAACTATAATAGTATGAATAATGCTAAAATAGCACTGCATCATAGAAAAGATGCCTTTTAAAATGACTTATTTGAAGGGGGGGAAGTCCAAGGCTGAATCCGAAATAGGGCGTTATTTGAATGGACAGCCATTTGTAGTGGTGTCCGAAACCATAGTGCACGTTATTGAGTGCACTTATTCAATCCCACAGTGCACTGCAACGAGTGTACAACCGATGTACGCTCAAGGGCTGTCTGAATTCGCTCACTCCTTTTCATTCACTCCTTCAAGTGAACGGTATTAGGGGACTAACGTAGGGAATAGTGAATGAGGGTTTAGTGGGTGATTTCGGATTCAGCCCAAGGGAACATTAAAGGGCTGATTGGTTGATTATGATTTCACTTTTCTAACTTTAGTTAGTGTGTACTGTTGGTGTTTGAGCATAAACAACATCTGCAAAGTCACAACACTCAAAGATATGAGTAAAGAAATTTAAAATTTCTTTTAAAGAAATGGCTTTTTAAGGACTACAACAAACGGCTGGTAGGGACTACACGACATTCCTCCTGGGTTAGTGACATCACTAACCCAAAAATTTACATAAACCCCGCCCCCGGGAACGTGATTTATAGATTATCATGACAGAATATGCTAATCAATGACTAGAATATAACTACACATAAGCGACGTAAATTCATCAACTAACCATTCAGAAATGTTGTCACTTCTTCTTGAGTCCATCTTCCGGTTTGAACATAAAAGGCTAAAGGTTTTGAAATCTTCAAAAGTAATCGAAGGTGCTATTGGACACAAGCTCTTGAAGCTCCGCCCCCAGCTCATTTGCATTTAAAGGGCCACACACAAAAACGGTGCGTTTTTGCTCACCCTCAAAAAGTGACAACTTTAACATGCTATATAAAAATATCTGTGGGGTATTTTGAGCTAAAACTTCACATACACACTCTGGGGACATTAGAGATTTATTTAGCATCTTGTGAAAAGGGCATTATACCACCCCTTTAAAGGATTAGGGTGACGACGGGTGTCTCACTTCGGAATCAGGAAGCGCATCCTCCTCGGGACCAGCTGTTTGGTCCAGCTCTGGACAGTCGCTGTGGAGATGTGAGGTAAGATGGCCGAAAGGGGCGTGGCCTCTTCTGACGGCAACGCAATGAACATGCTCATGCTATTACCATGATACGGCAGCTCGATCACTGTGTACTTCAAACCTTCTGGAGTGCTGGCTTGACCTGCCGAGAAAACAAGAACAAAGAAACGGATGAGGCTTTATGCTGCACACTCGGTCTCTCAACTATTAAAGAGGACCTATTATGCTTTTTTTCCATGTTCATCTTTCTGTAGTGCAGCGTTTCTCAAAGTGTGGGGCGCGCCCCACTGGTGGGGAATGGAAGCATGACAAGTGGGGCGCGACAAACGGAGAAAATGTGGTAATTTGTGTGCCCATCTCTATTAATTTCTTTATTTATTGAGCATAAACTCTAAACAAAACAACGACACATTTAAATGTAAGCCTTACTTAACCTTTTCACACGTAAGTTTAAAAGTTTTTAGAGGCGCCCGTTATTTAGATCGTATCCCTTTATGGTTTCCATGGTGGCGCGTCATTGCTTGTCACACCGCAGCCACAATAGCGCTGAATGACTGATTATCTGCTTTTATTTCACAAATTTGTTGGCTATAGCAGGAAATATCTGATATTCCGATTGTCAAATATGAGCAAATGGATGCGTTTTGTTGTTTAAACACCTTAGTTGAGCTAACGTTATACGCGATGGCCGTTATAGTTTATGCCGGATTTTAGAGAATCGGATCTGTTGGATTTAACAAACGTCAATTTATCCACTTCTCCCGAAATACATGAAAGTAAGTGGCCGATGAACTGGGAGAAGCATAGAGTAAACTTGAAAGTTACTTACACGATGTGTATTTGATATGAATAATACGTGTCGTCTAATTATAATGGAATAATTATTATTGCCGCTTCCATAGACATAAGTGTGTATTTGACAAACTCTAAATGTATTGCTTTTTTAGGACTTATGTGAATTTAAATGTCTGAAACTTAAAATAAACATTGTGGTTGAAAACACTGAATAGTTGTGATGTCAAGCGGTGAGCGCTCTCCGTCTCTGGCTCAGAAAATATAGCATACTACAAAACAGGCTCATTGCAGACACTAAATTAGTTAACGTTAATCACTTAATGTTGAACTTTCAAAGTGCACCAGATTTATGAATTTATCTTTAAAACGTACAAACTTTTCTTCCGGGGGAACATGCCCCCGGACCTCCCTATAGGGGTGCAGAGGTCCACACCACACGCAAAATACTGTGGGAAACAGTAGCTTATATGATAGTCCTCGAAAAATACAAAATACAATTATTATTATAAAAATACCTAAAATACGTACATTAGGATTTTACCACCTCCGCCTCGTTTTGAGCCAGGAAAAACCCTGAGATTACTATTATTCTTTTTCAATTTTGTTTGTTCTTTTTGCATGCAATTTGCGAAGTGACAAAATAGTAAAGCAAAGCACAACTAGTCCACACTTTTATTTTCTCCCGTTTCTGAATTTGATGTTATCAGAGGCAAAATACAAACACAATTGCATTATTATTTTTATCTACTGTCATGTTCATGTTTTTAAAATGTCATGTTAATAAAATACATTTTAACTTAAAGCCTAGTTTATTAACATTTTGTTGGGGCGATTGCATAAGGACAGGTGGGGCACGAACCCTTCCCTACCTTCAAAGTGGGGAATGGCAGAAAAAGTTTGAGAAACACTGCTGTAGTGTGTGATGTTGCTGTTTGAGCATGAAAAAGCTCTGCAAAGTTACAAAGTCCCTCCAGCGGGAGTTATTCTCTATATCAGGGTCAGTGTTTCTGAACTCCCTGAAACGCCTTGAGTTTCTTCCGGGAACAAACACGTCACAATATTCCTCATTTAACTAATTAATATGCAGGATAAAGGGGAAGGGCCTGGTTGAGTTGGTTAGTAGTGTGTTGAAACTGGTGGTTATGGTAAGGGGCGGGACATTTCCCAAACACGCTTGAAGCGCTTGACCAATCACAGCACACTGATCCAGCCGACCAATCAGAGCACAGTGTGCTTTTCAGAAGGAGGGGCTTCATAGAGACAGGAACTAAACAAAGCGTTACTGACAGACTGGGAAGAGAGGAGCTGCAACTATGAAAGCTTGTTTCCACCACAGAATAAAACGTTTTAAAAGATAAAAAAAGAGATAAGACTCGCAATTGTGAGTTTAACATCTCGCAATTCTGACTTTATTTCTCAGAATTGCGAGATATAAAGTCACAATTGCGTGTAAAGGTCCTTGCACACTCCAGAGTCCAAACTTTTTCGTATGCATTTTTTTTTTCTTATTCGTCATTCGGTGGCTCTGAATTGTCAAAACACCATCAAAATACTTGCTACGGATGCGAAAACCGCAGAAACTCGAATAATCAAATTGTGAGAAATAAACTCACACAATTCTGACTATTATATCTTTTTATGTAAACTCATCACACAATAAGAGAAAAAAAGTCAGAGTTGTGAGATAAAAAGTCGCAATTACCTTTTTTATTCTTTGGCGGAAACAAGCTTCCATATGCAGCAATGGAGAATATGGGGAAAATAATGTGTGTTATGAACATTCAAGCATGAAAACCTATTCTTGTAGAGCCCATAAACAAAACCAAGACTTCTATAAATATGGCCTCTTTAAAATATTAGTTTTATGAACCTAAATTTCAGTATATAAAAAAACAAAACCTGACACATGCGTGTATGGATCATATCCCAGTCACCCCGGTGAACTTTATAAGTGCAGTCTATAAAACACTTAATTCTGCTTGTAAAGGGCTAATATCAAAGCTAGTAAAAGAACTAAAGTTTATTGGTGTTTTCATGGATTAAATCCTTCTGCTGATGGCCAGACACACTCTTGGCTCTTACATTAGAACTCAATTAATTCACATTTTGCACTATTTTATTCCCATCTCCTGGGTTATGAGGAATTGTAAAGTTAAAATACTCCAGAGTTCCCAGATATTTAAAAAGTAGCCACGTTTTTATTGCATCGTCGTCTCTGGAAAAGAGTTCGACAAGTAGCCAGACAATGGCATGATTCATGTAGCAGGAAAATCTTTCAGTTCTGTGTGTGTGTGTGTGTGTGTGTGTGTGTGTGTGTGTTTAATAGCTGGTGCAACCTGTGAGGAAATCCCACCATCTCACCGTAGTTGAAGACGGAGAGCTGGGACATCATGGGCACTTTGTATGACTTTCCATCTCCTGCAGTAAAGCTTCTGGGTTTGGTGTTCTGGGCTTGGAAACGGGACTTCCACAGGCCTTTGAAGTAAATGGAGTTTACAGCCACCAAACGAGTCAGAACCGGATCGAACATATCCGCCTGGACAAGGCTGGGAATATGGCCTGAAGAAATAAAAAGACAAAAAAACAGAGCATGTTATAGTATAACATAATATTACAAATTAATTGGCACACAAATAGAGTACTAAATATGGCAGGAAAAGTTATTTTTCAACAAATGGTCACTGAACGGACAACATCAGGAGGTCTAACTAACTAAATATTATATCAGCTGTTTTCTATTTTATGTCCATTTTGTCTAAGAATTGAAATTTTTGCAACAAAAAAAATGGAGGGGGGGGGATGTGGGACATAAATAAAGTTTAAAATAATGATTTGTGTGATTGATATAAATAAATAAAACGTTTTTTTATTTGAAAAATTTTTGGTTTTCAGTTTTTGATAAACTTAATTAGGTTTAAGTCAATTAATTTTCAATAATTCAGCTTATATTTTCCTTATAATTTTTGTTATATGACTTGGAAAATGTTCTTAAGATTAATAATAAAAGATACAAATTAATTAATAAATAAACAAACAAACAAATAAAGATTGTGTATTGGAATCAAATATTAAAAAAAATGAATGGGAACTCATTTTGTAGCCTATTAATGGCTATTACATGAACATACCAATATATACATGTAATAAATAAATAAATAAAATTATATTAACATTGAACATTAAAAGCACTAATCTTAGGGCTTAGACCTTATTTAGGGATAAATATCACATTTCGAGAGAAGTTGCATTGAAAAATCCTTTTTCAGTAATCCAGGCTAGAGGTCAGGGTATCAGATCCAGGGGTCAGAGGTCAACGTGAGGTGTACCTTTAGTGCTGTTCTTCACCCATTCATTAATGGTTTCTGCAGCCTTCTCTGGGTCGCTGTAGTTAATGGTTTGACTGTGGCACAGGAAGTTCTCCCTGTTGGCTGTCAGGAAGTCTTCTTTCATGCTGAAGCCCTCGTTGGGGAACAGCGCGTTGGCGATCGTCACAATATCAGCGTTGGATTTGGTCGTTAGGGCCTTATGCAACTTCCGCAACATCTTATATGGACCTAAGAGCAAAACAAACACACGAAAGGAATTTATATATCAATTACAGGGTTGAAATTGCTATTTTCAATCGCCCATTGTATAGTCTGCCAGGCAAAAATCAATTGAACATTTATGATACTCCACATGCTACTTTTTTTGAGGCGTCCAAAAGGCATCTGTGGCACTGAATTACACACTAAGAGCCAGAACTACTAAACTGTTCAAATTAGCGTGAAGCCACAATCTAATGAAACGCAGATGGGAGTGCAAACTGGTGCGGGTGATCTAATGACAATGCACTAGAGCTAATGATTAATGCAGTCTATTTAAAAATGTTTAATTAATTAGAATGAATTTTATTTTATTTTTTTTGGTTTGAAATGAATGATTCAATGACTCACTCATAAAGACTTGAGCATGCGTTTTTGAACGAATCTCTTGAATGAATGATTCAATGACTCACTCATAAAAACTTGAATCAGCGTTTTTGAACAAATCTCTTGAATGAATGATTCGATGACTCACTCATAAAAACTTGAATCAGCATCTTTGAACGAATCTCTTGAATGAATGATTCAATGACTCACTCATGAAAACTTGAATCAGCGTTTTTGAACAAATCTCTTGAATGAATGATTCAATGACTCACTCATAAAAACTTGAATCAGCATCTTTGAACGAATCTCTTGAATGAATGATTCAATGACTCACTCATAAAGACTTGAATCAGCGTTTTTGAACGAATCTCTTGAATGAATGATTCAATGACTCACTCATAAAAACTTGAATCAGCGTTTTTGAACGAATCTCTTGAATGAATGATTCAATGACTCACTCATAAAGACTTGAATTAGAGTTTTTGAACGAATCTCTTGAATGAATGATTCAATGACTCACTCATAAAGACTTGAATCAGCGTTTTTGAACAAATCTCTTGAATGAATGATTCAATGACTCTGTTTCATATCTACACATGATAACCGCTCTCTCTGGATCAGGATCTCAATGTTCCGGTATGATTTTGTTAAAGGTTTAATAGACAAAGGCAAATCCTTGTAATTTAGGAATAAGATCATGTGGGTGTTTAAATCGAGATCTACAATGCACAAATTCAATGTCATGTCAGGTGCAAAATCAGGTTAGACATGCTTTTTTTAGGGCGGTTAATAATGGTGCAAATACCAGTAAATTGACAAGCGCAAACCTTAGTAAATCATGTTGCAAGATTCATTTAAATACTCTCCTCCCATAAATGTAGTGGTTTGACAGGGAAACTGCTAATGAATGATTCAATGACTCCCTCAAAAAAAGACTTTAACGATTAATCGTGCAGCTCTACAATGCACAAATTCAATGTTATGTTAATGTGCAAAAGCAGTAAAGACATGCTTTTTCAGGGCGGTAAGTAATAGAGCAAATCATGTTGCATGATTCATTTAAAATACTCTCCTCCCATAAATTAAGTGGTTTGACAGGGAAACCATATGCATTTTTATCCCTCATTTCTAACAGCGTGTCTTTAGTAAATCCTGTTTCTTAATGCAAAATAGGGTTTGCACTGACACAAGCATTTAGTAAATCTGGCCTTATGTGTTAATGCTGAAGGAATGCAAATGAAAGCAGAGCAAACACACACACACACCCGTCCTCTTGTATTTGAGGCCGGTGACTATCTGTCGGCGAGTGTCCCCGTGGGCCCCCGGGAGCAGCATGCCCAGGACAGAGGCCACGCCGTGAGGGGACATGACCACGTTCTCCAGGGGTTTGTCCTGGACCACACGCAGAAACAGCTGCAGGCCCAGATCAGAGCCTCGTTCTCCGTAAGACGGGGACGCAGACACACTCAGAGAACACACCGCCAGCAGCACGCACAGGTGCAGTGAGACACACATCGTGAGGGACACACCTGGAGGAGAGAGAGACGATGAAGTAAAACTATACTTTTTGCAATTACGCATTTCATTGTTTTCATACACTTCGTTGTTAATGGATTACAAACAAAAGGTGTGCTTGAAAGATGGAATTGAATGGCATATTTACTGACGGACGGACAGATTTCAACAAACACAAACCACAACTCAAATACCAGCTTCTGTCAGAGATCTCTGATTTCCCTCGATCTAATCAGTATTCTCCAGAGCAGAACGATTTTCCGGGACACAGACCTGTTTTTTGGGGGGGTTTTTTTGCATTAGCGTTTCTTGAATAAAGGACGGACGGCTCCGAGCAACACCTCCTCCGGTCTCTTGGATCGGTGCTGCACACACACTCACACACTCCTGAGCTATTCTATTTCCCGTCACACAGGCCTGCGGCTCAGGAATTTATTTGATTAAGGATAGTGTGTGTGTGTGTGTAATTGAGTGTAAGTGTGTGTGTGTGTGTGTGAGAGAGAGAGAGAGAGAGAGAGAGTGAGCTTGAGTGTATATGTGAATGTGTGTGTGTGTGTGTGTGTGTGTGTGTGTGTGTGTGTGTGTGTGTGTGTGTGTGTGTGTGTGTGTGTGTGTGTGTGTGTGTGTGTGTGTGTGTGTGTGTAAGTAAGTGAGTGTGTGAGTAAGTGAGTGTGAGTGTGTGTGTGTGTGTGTGTGTGAGTGTGTGTGTGTGTGTGTGTGTGTGTGTGTGTGTGTGTGTGTGTGAGTGTGTGTGTGTGTGTGTGTGTGAGTGTGTGTGTGTGTGTGTGTGTGTGTGTGTGTGTGTGTGTGTGTGTGTGTGTGTGTGTGTGTGTGTGTGTGTGTGTGAATGTGACTGCTTAAAATTGACTTCATATTACATTGTTACATCATAACTCTGACATATTTTGCCAACAGACTGTTGTGATAAATGATTCATTAGTGCATTTCATAACTATGAGTCTACGGTACAACTATCAATCCTGTTAAATGTTAAAACTGTTTTACTGTGCATTAAAAACATTTTAAACACACAATCCTTCATAGACCTTCAATAAATAACTGATTTAGATAAAACAGTTAGTCTCAGAACAGTTAAACATATCACATCTCATCTAATATTAGTCTTAGGCTGGCAAAAACACATCTAATGTTCCTACAGATACTGTACATAAACAGTCAATCAACAGAGTCTTAAGAACTAGTCTGACCAACTAGCAGTTAACCAAGAGGTAACCGGTCTTACTTTTTAGATTTAAAACCAACCAATCACCAGTTTTAAAGGACAAAATCAGATGACTAACTTGTAAGACTAGTCTAAGCAACTGTACTTTGTCCTAATGTTAGTCCACATTCTGATTTGGTCTTGTAACAGTTTAACTGATCTGATCAGGGGCCAAATTGGATGAGCAGTTGGGTTAGTTAGGGGTAATTAGTTACTTTTCGGTATCAAACTAGACCAACTTACATTTGACATATTTTAACTGACTAATGAAAGTTATGAACAGTCTTAAAGAAAACTTGCAAGACTATAGTCTTAGATGGTTTAAATGCAACCGGTCCCTGGTCTGATATACGTTTAATGTCAGATATTAGTCTGATGACAGTTGAACGGGGTTTTCTGTATATTGCACAAGTAAAGCGTTATTTTACGACGACCGCAGGACACTTTTTATAGCCGCTTCAGCAAGTGTGTTTAATTATAGGCTTTAAAACCCAGTCTGAGCACAAATAGGGGCGGGGGTTTGCAACTCAAAGTCAACAACTCCAAATAACAAGCCTCTGTATGTTTGTAGTATCCTACATTAAAAAAAAAAACATCTGACAAACATCCAGGAATAAAAGCAGCTGTTAGGCTACTAATGCATGATTTAAGTATAGGCTATAAAACAAACTGTGTATGAGGAGAAAAAAATAAGATGCGATATTTATATAATATGCTTCACTAACCTGGACAAGCACGTCTATTCGTTAGATACGCAGGTAGAGAGCGCGTGTCTTCCGCGAGCGTCCGTGTTTCTCCTCGCGCTCGCTAAAGCGCCTCCGTTTATTTCTTTCGGTCCTCCTCAGCGTCGAACTCCGCCTTCTCATACATACGAACACTGCAACATTCTGAATATTAATTAGGGAACCCTGACGTATGTGGTTGACGTAAACACGCACAACCAACGGCTGTCGAACGTTCCGTTACGTAATTAATATTCATGAGTCAAACAGTCGCCGTTTGTAGAATTTGAAGAGACACAAAAAGCCCTTCAGCGAAACTTTGATTAAACTCTCCTCGATGTAAACAGGAAATTACATCAACGCGGAAGAATTGGATAATTAGTGCGGAGATTAATTATATGCTTTCACAAAACAATAACACATCAGCATCATTCAGGACTCAACTGTTGCGCAACTGGTTTACCAAACGGAAGTGACTAACGGGAAAGGTACCATATAAGTTTTATGATACAATGTTTTACACACAAGTATTTATTTAGGTTTGATATTAACTAGTGTTTTTACCTCCTCCCCATTACCCCCAACCATTTTTTCTAGCAAAAACACACCAAACAATATCAACAAATAAAGTAACTTGAACACACTCATTAGCTTTCAGACACACTGTACCGATAGTATCTAAATACCATGGTAAATGAGTATGGTTTATTTTACCACAGGTTTTGGACATGGTAATACCATACAATACTATAGTATAATGCATTGGAGTACCTTGAAAAATTAATATATATGTTATGTTATATAACGTTACATTATATATATGTTTTTGCTAAAACAGTGATCGCAATTCTGACTTTATAACTCGTAATTCTGACTTTTTTTCATTTTCAAAATCGATAGATGAGATATGAACTCGAAATTGTGAGGGGAAAAAAGGAAAAAAAATTAGATGTATTCGCTTCCATAGTATTTATTGCCAATTCCTAGGAAGCTCGTTTCCTCTTATAATTTTTACATTTTACAAGTATTTATTTAGGCTTGTTATTAACTCGTGTTTTTACCTCCTCCCCATTACTCCCAACCCTTTTTCTACCAAAAACACACCAAATCAATCTGCAACACAGCATGAAATCAACCACAGCCATGTTTTCGACATCACAAAACTTCCTTTATTGAGAAACTGCAAAATATACAAGTGATTTACATCAAGAAAAAAGACATTCATTCATTCATACTTTCATAAACATATTACAAACTAAACTGATTGTTAAAAAAATGATTGTAATAAAAACAGTGCCAAAACGGATTTCTAAAGCAAGAATTTCCTTAGTACCATTAGACAGCAGAAGCACCTGATTGGCCATTACACATGCGTCTGAGCATCTGATTGGCCGCTGTTGCTGTCAATCACTCGGCCAGCCACTTTTGGAGCAGGATGAAGATGCGGTCCCGTGCCAGACCCAGCTGAGGAAGGTCTTCTGCTCGGGGCGGGTACATGTTTGCACAATGAGCCGTTCCTGAGAGAGAGAGAGAGAGAGAGAGAGAGAGAGAGAGAGAGAGAGAGAGAGAGAGAGAGAGAGAGAGAGAGAGAGTGTGAGAGAGGGGATCAAGTTCACCTTTATTATTACAATTGACTTGCTATTATTACAAAAGATTCACAGCTGATTTACAAAAAAAAAAATACACGAAAAAATACATAAATTCAATTTTCTGTCATTTAAAAAAAAAATAAACCTCAAAACCAATTCATTGTCATACAGTGTACATAATATTTCATCTATTCCACATAATTTTATAAACTTTGGTAGGGATGCTAACCGATGACCGTTTGACCGATGGTTGACCGTATCAACATTAACCGATCAAAGTTGTCGGTAGTCGGTTAAAAAAAAAGTGATCTCTAAATTAGGCTATTATAGACAGTGGACTAAACCCTACTACAGTTAGCAATCTCATTCCAAGGTATTTTTGTGTGAAGTGAACAAATCCCTCACACTAAATTTTTCATAACTCGCCTGTTTGTACTCATTAAACCAATAAAAACATTTGGTGCGAGGTCACAGCGTTTGGGTTTGCGAAAAGTAAAGGCTACAGGCTAAAACACTCGAGGTTAGAGCCAGGGCAGACGACAGGATGAAGCGTGCAAAGTAAAGTAGTGTGTGGGACCATTTCACGAAAAAGAATGACACAGATGTAAGTTGCAACTTGTGTAATACAGTGCTTAAATACAGCCGTAGCACATCATCTATGATGCATCACCTGAAAACGCGACACCCGCATTAGATTTGGAAATACATTACATCTACATTTCAGTGGTAACAGATAAGGTGATGATGATCATCATCTTTCTTTATTATTGTTAGCACTAACGTTACCTCAAACTAAATCGGCGTCTCTTCGGAGCTGTCATTTTCTTAAATGAGCCGCGCCAATGTTTCAAATGAGCTTCTAACGCTAGACTAACGCCTTTATTTTCAACGCGATCACCTTGTACCCAAACCATTTCGAAACTAAGGAGCCATTTGTCCTCCGATTACATACAAGCTCCTCGGCGCCGCGTTTGCGCCGCGTTTGCGCTGTAGGGGATTTTAAAAAAAGTGACGTGAGTGGAAGGGCGGCGCTGGGGCGAAATTGCAGAAAAATTGCGAAATTGCAGGCGCGGCTCGAAATGGCTGTTATTTCAAATAGCATGGCATATTTTAAACTAATCGGTTAACCGGTTAATGAGGCTCGGTGGTCGGTCAAGAAATTTTTTAGTTTTCGCCATCCCTAGTAGAGATTCCACCAACTTCTAGTATGCATTCTCCACCCTGCCCTCAACCGAGAAGCCACCAAACCTAAAAACATAGGCACAATTGACCTTATTGACCTTCGCCACAACAGTCTGTTTTTCCTTGTCTTCCAAATAGAGAGAGAGAGAGCGAGTGAGAGAGAGCGAGTGAGAGAGAGAGAGAGAAAGAGAGAGAAAGCGAGAGAGCGAGTGAGAGAGAGGGAGAGAGTGAGCGAGAGAGAGAGAGTGAGAGAGAGAGAGAGAGAAAGCGAGTGAGAGAGAGGGAGAGAGTGAGCGAGAGAGAAAGCGAGAGAGCGAGTGAGAGAGAGGGAGAGAGTGAGCGAGAGAGAAAGCGAGAGAGCGAGTGAGAGAGAGGGAGAGAGTGAGCGAGAGAGAGAGAGAGAGTGAGTGAGTGAGCGAGCGAGCGAGTGAGAGAGAGAGAGAGAGAGAGAGAGAGAGAGTGAGAGAGAGAGAGAGAGAGAGAAAGCGAGAGAGAGAGTGAGAGAGAGAGAGAGAGAGTGAGAGAGAGAGAGAGAGAGAAAGCGAGAGAGCGAGTGAGAGAGAGAGAGAGAAAGCGAGAGAGCGAGTGAGAGAGAGGGAGAGAGTGAGCGAGAGAGAAAGCGAGAGAGCGAGTGAGAGAGAGGGAGAGAGTGAGCGAGAGAGAAAGCGAGAGAGCGAGTGAGAGAGAGGGAGAGAGTGAGCGAGAGAGAGAGAGTGAGTGAGTGAGCGAGCGAGTGAGAGAGAGAGAGAGAGAGAGAGAGAGAGAGAGAGAGAGAGAGATAATGGCACCAGCGAGATTCAGCGGGAAAAAGAGATGAATGTAAATGGAGACGGGACAGACCTTTGATGAAGACAGCCGGAAGGTCACTTGCGATGTCCTGGGTCACTCCGAGAGCGTGCCAGGGGTCAATCGAACCGTTGGGGAAGACGATGCGAGTGCTTTTGATGTCATATCCTCCGTATTCCTCATTGGTCTGCTGAATAGCATCATCTAACGAGGTGCTCAGGTTATATATATCAGCGCACTGCTGCAGGAAATACCTGCACAACAGAAGACCGTTTGATGCGTTTAAACACTCAATGCTATTGCAAAGTGCAACGAAACCAATGTCAAGACCACAGCTACACACACTCACGGTAAGGGAAAACCATTGAAGGGCTGGTTCGGTGAATCGGTGCTCTGATAAAACCCAAATTCAGTGCAGGTCTGATACACCCACTGCCGCCCTAAACACAGAAACCAAATTCAGCTTCATTTTTATGATATAATACAACATTTGTGAATAATTGCAAGATGTCTTCTAATGCCTGGGTGATATTTCATCCCCAAAAAAATACAAATTAAATACAAAAAAAAATAAAATAAATTATAAACAAGAAAAATATCTAAAAACAAAAACATTAAATAAAAAAATATAACTAAATAAATAAATTAATACAATAAATAAATACAAAACAAATAAAATAAAACTGAAATATAACAAAAAAATAACTAAATTAATAAAATAAACAAATACAAAAACTAATAAAATAAAACATTCATTAGGCCTTATTTTTGTTTATGCTAAATATTATTTTTCATAAACATGTTACTTACAGTACGATACAACATTTCTGATCAATTGCAAGATGTCTCTAATGCCTGGGTGATATTTTATCCACACAAAAAATTAAATACAATAAATAAATAAATAAAAATAAACAAGAAATAAAACAATATCTAAAAAAAAAACATGAAATAAAATATAACAAAACAATAAATAAATTAATAAAATAAATAAATACAAAACAAACATAAAATAAAACTGAAATATAACAAAACAATAAATTAATTAAATAAATAATTACAAAACAAACAAAGGCTTTATTTTTTGTTAATGCTAAATATAATTCTTGGGACATCATTCATACTTTCATAAACCTATTAATTACAAAACTGATTCTGAATTCAAGATTGTTAATAAAAAAAAGTGCCTAAAACATGAAAACCCTTCTTTGCATTGCAATAGTACTAAATAACCAAAATAAAACAAAATTAAGTAAAAAAAAGTACATAAATACATTTATTAGGCTTCATTTTCATTATGCTAAATGTAATTTTTTGAGCATATTTTCATGAGATCCAGTGAAATCACACATTAAATACTGGTTCTCATTCAGACAGAAAATAAGCGGAAAAACCCATAAAAACATGAGAAAGGACAAAAGCAGGGAACATCACATATATAAACACAGTGTGTGACATAAGGACAGTCACACTGCACACACACACCTCCTCCGGCCTCCGGGCCGCTCCAGCTGGTGTTGCTCATGTCCTGGACGTAGCTGTTGTACTGGGTGTTTATGCAGGACTGGGAGAAGGTGTTCTGCATCAGACGAGCCACAGCGGCGTATCGGTCGTACGGCCCGCCTAGAGAAGAGTCCAGCATCACACTGCACAACACCTTTATCGTGATGTTAGTGCCCACAGCGCCCTGAAACACACACACAAATATACACTATACACTTGCATATTCTATTGCTTTAATATAAAGCTCATTTTAATGACTTATACAATCCTATCCAAAAACATGTTGCATGAGTAAAGAAGATGTTTCAAGAGAAATGGGTGAGAAAAAGTGATTTTTTTTTTCACCGAAATGAATTAATTATAACCAATTTGTAAGCCTAAATTGATAATCAATGTGCTTCTACTATAAATTCTGAAGTAATTTTATTGATCAATTATTTAGGTATCTTTATTTAATTTGGAAGATTAAACAAATATTTTGTATGGTAAATAGTCTTAAGAAATTAGGTTTCTTTATATCTTTTTTGGTATGTTAAATGTTATTATGGAATGTTTTTGTGTGTCGCTGTTGTTTTATTTTGCCGTGGATGTTTGTTTTCTTATTGTTTCATTTTAAATAAAAATATTTTTTGGAATTAAAAATCAAAATTTAAATCATTTTTATCCCACTAGAAATGAAGGGTTTTGTCTGATTTTGCTCACTTGTAGAAACTGTTTTGTCAAACATTAAAGTGAAAGAAAAAGCCTTCGGGGCATTTGAGGACAAGAGTCTCGGAGCCGCTGGTAATCAGGATGTGAGCTGTAATCTATCAGAACCAGAACCGAGATTCCAAGAACACTCAGAGATTGGAGTCTGATTACACAGACACGCCTCTCAATCCAAAATACACTTACACACTTCATCACTGCTTGGATCACGCCAGGGAATGTGTGTGTGTGTGTGAGAGAGTGTCTGTGTGTGAGAGAGAAAGTGAGGGAGTGAGTGTGTGTGTGTGAGAGAGAGAGGGGGAGTGTGTGTGTGTGTGTATGTATGTGTGTTTGTGTGAGTGAGAATGTGTGTCTGTGTGAGTGAGTGTCTGTCTGTGTGTGAGAGAGAGAAAGTGAGGGAGTGAGTGTGTGTGTGTGTGAGAGAGAGAGAGGGAGAGTGTGTGTGTGTGTGTGTGTGTGTGTGTGTGTCTGTCTGTGTGTGTGAGAGAGTGTCTGTGTGTGTGAGAGAGTGTCTGTGTGTGTGTGTGTGTGTGTGTGAGTGAATGAGTGAGTGTCTGTGTGTGTGTGAGAGTGTGTGTGTGTGTGTGTGAGTGAGTGTGTGTCTGTGTGAGTGAGTGTGTGTCTGTGAGTGAGTGAGTGAGTGAGTGAGTGTGTGAGTGAGAGTGAGTGAGTGAGTGAGTGAGTGAGTGAGTGAGTGTGTGAGTGAGTGAGTGTGAGTGAGTGAGTGAGTGAGTGTGTGAGTGAGTGTGAGTGAGTGAGTGAGTGAGTGAGTGAGTGTGTGAGTGAGTGAGTGTGTGAGTGAGTGAGTGAGTGAGTGAGTGTGTGTCTGTGTGAGTGAGTGAGTGTGTGAGTGAGTGTGTGTGTGAGTGAGTGTGAGTCTGTGTGAGTGAGTGAGTGAGTGAGTGAGTGAGTGAGTGAGTGAGTGAGTGAGTGAGTGAGTGAGTGTGTGAGTGAGTGAGTGTGTGTGTGAGTGAGTGAGTGAGAGTGAGTGAGTGAGTGAGTGAGTGTGTGTGTGTGTGTGTGTGTGAGTGAGTGAGTGAGTGTGAGTGAGTGTGTGAGTGTGTGAGTGAGTGAGTGTGTGAGTGAGTGTGAGTGAGTGAGTGAGTGAGTGAGTGTGTGTGAGTGAGTGAGTGTGAGTGAGTGTGAGTGAGTGAGTGAGTGAGTGAGTGTGTGAGTGAGTGAGTGAGTGTGAGTGTGAGTGAGTGTGTGAGTGTGTGAGTGAGTGAGTGAGTGTGTGAGTGAGTGAGTGAGTGTGAGTGAGTGAGTGAGTGTGTGTGAGTGAGTGAGTGTGAGTGAGTGAGTGAGTGTGAGTGAGTGAGTGAGTGTGAGTGAGTGAGTGAGTGAGTGAGTGAGTGTGAGTGTGAGTGAGTGTGTGAGTGTGAGTGAGTGAGTGAGTGTGAGTGAGTGTGAGTGAGTGAGTGGTTCACAAAACAAATCTGGATTCATCTGGAGTTTGAATTTAGTCAAATGTAAATCATGGGTTTTTACGTTTTCAGGTACAGAGTAAATCTAGGACTGGATTTTGCATCCAAATTCTCATTCTATCTATATAATACAATATGCAAGAGCGTCCAGAATCACAGGAGACTCAAAATAAAGCTGTCCAGTGGATCTCAAGGAGTGCATCTCTGCATGCTTTATGGGCGAATATTACCCACAACTCCTTGCGCTATAAAAGACAGGAGTTTGTGGCAGCTCTTGCAACTTTAAGAAAATGTCGAGGAAAACAAGAATGAAGTCATTTTAAGAAGTGAAGTCATGGATTATAATTCACATTTACTGCACTGTTGCAGATGCAAAAAAATCTGCCTGTGCTGTAAGAAAAAAATACACTTATTCACTATAAATTGAATGAAAAATAATCTTAAATTTACTTGAGAAGCAACACAGCTAAGATTAATTTTCATTGATTGAATTCAATTCATTCAATTGTGTCTTAATGCACTGGCAGAAAGACCATTTTTTACACCTATAGAAGGCCACCACAAACAAAATCATAAATCATAATGAGATGAAAAGTCGAAATAAGAAAGTTGAAATTATAATGACATACTAAATCGAAATTATGAGATTCAAATTCAAAATTATAGCATACAAAGTCAAAGTTATAGCATTAAATCAAAATTATAACATGCTAAATCGAAATTATGACTTGAAAACTTAAAATTATGATTTTAAAAAGTCGGTATTATGACTTACTAAATCAAAATTATGATTTACATGGATTACAAATTCGAAATTATGACATACTAAATCAAATTAATGAGATTTAAAAGTCAAAATTATGATGAAAAAAGTCAGAATTATGAAATACAAAATTTAAATATGATTAACATGTTTTATAAATCTGAAATTATGAATAACATGATTTAAAAAGTCAAAATTATGAGATTTAAAAAATCTAAATTATGAATTAAAAAAATCTAAATTATGACATACTAAATCGAAGTTATAGCATGAGTCAACATTGACAAAGAGTCGAAATCATAACCTGACTTTTTGTGTCATAATTTTGACTTTTTAAATCATAGTTTACTTTTTTGTCATAATTATGATTTACCAGAGCATGATTTTATTTTTTACAGAAGTGACCATTTTTAATTTAGAATTTTTTTAAAAGAAATTTTAGATTTCATAATGTAAAACAAGTAAAAAAACAAACAAATAATTAATAAAAACTATTGAAAATCCTTCTTTTTTGTAGCATATGTTGGTATGTGCTAATAAAGGCCTACTTTCTTACTACACACATATAGAATGTATGTCCTTCCCTGTCATCAGGAGCAGAAGTATGCAAACAGGGATGCAGGATCTTTATACTAACCCAAATCCAGCTCATTTTATACTTCACAAGTGACAACTAAGAATAAACATGAACAACCCAAACGTTTCCCATTATAAACACGGCTGTTGTTTCTCTCTCTCTCTCTCATTCATTCAGCTGCTCTCTCTCTCTCTGAAACTCAATCCTGCACCTCTAAAAGCTCCTGTGGTTTATTGGTAATCTGACCAGACAATATCCAGCCTCTTATCTGTCTCATACACACACTCTCCAACAAATGACTAATCTTGTTTCTGACTCGGGCTTTTCTGACTCTTTGACCCGAGTAATGCCTTTAGTACAGAGTCTTCATGAGCTCTGACCATTTCATTTTTGTGCTTGTGGTCATAATGTGGTGTGCCGGACAATCTCTCTAACTCACACACCTCAAAGCCCCGGTTGTCCTCGTTGTATTGCACCACATCCATGAAATTCCCAGCCAAAGACTCCAGAAGATACGCAGAATCCATCTTGGACTGGATCTGGAGCTTAGAGCACAACCTGAGACACAGAGAAATGATCATACACACTAAATAATGTGCGTACTGCAGTACACTTGTATTGCATTCCTCACAAAGCCAGAATCATGACAGCAGGAAGGAAGGAAGAGAAAGATGAAGGATGTTTTAGATTGAGTGTTTTCTTTCTGCGGGTCGTGCCGAGACGACTGACCCTGGTCCATATCTGAGCCGGGGAGCACAGACGGCATTCCAGGATCTCACAATCCTGACACACACACACACAGATCACAAGTCGAACGGAACTAAGAAGGACACTGAAACCAGGATAGTCACAGTCCAGCAACTGCAACAGAAAGGCCTTTTCAGTCCTTCCAAAACACACATGTATTAGACATAGTCTCATGTTCCTATGCCATTACAAACCTATATAATCCCCAATTCTAGTAGTTTAAATAGATGCATCCTTTCAAGGTGTGTTTTTAAGTCAAGATGAAATTAATTAAAATAAGTACCCTTTTTAATTGCCCTAATAAACTAAATATATAGTGAATATACTGAATGATGTAACTTGCTCCACCTCAGATATGACTGCTTTTCTCCTTCTGACGTAATTAAAAGACATATTATCCATTTATGCAATAGGATCCTAATGAGTAAAAAATCCAAGCATTATCACTTAGTTTCACTTAGTAATGTTGCTTTATTAAGATGAATGCCATTTTATGTTGTCTGTTAAATTAAATCTCAATTAAAAAGCAACTAAAATGACACTATTCACTACGATTCAAAAGTTTGAGGGCAGAAATATGTTTTAATGTTTTTGAAAGGAGTCTCTTCTGCTCACCAAGGCTGCATTTATTTGGTCAAAAATACTGTAAAATCAGTGCAATATAAATATAACCGTTAAAATAACGTTTTTTTCATTTGAATATATTGTAAAATGTAGTTTATTCCAGTGATCAAAGCTGTATTTCCAGCATCATTACCCCAGTCTTCAGTGTCACATGATCCTTCAGAAATCACTCTAATATGATTATTAGGTCTAATATGATTATTAAGAAACATTATAAATGTCTTTACTGTCACTTAAAGCATCCTTGCTGAATTAAAGCATTCATTTCACGTGAGTGAGTTACCTGAAGTCCTTTGTGATGTTGTCATACGTTTTCGGGTCGCTGAGCCGATCAACCAACATGTCCGATGCTTTCTTCACCAGTAGGGGGCAGTCTGGGTTCTCCGCCGCCAGCGATCGCCACACCACCTCTAAATATTCTGCAGACATAGAAGAAAATTACACAACATCCATTACTCAACAAAATTCTGTTCGATTTGACTTGTGTAGATATGAAACTGCTTCAGAAACGGTCTTTTCAACCACACTTTCTCTGTGTTACAAATATTCACATTATCACGGAAGTACTAAGATAAAAGTTTATAGTTGGGATATAAACATTGATGTCTACGGTAGCGACCAATCATAGTAAATCAGCTTTTGAAAGTGACGTGACGCTTCAAATAATGATTATATCATTAAATCGTTACGCCAGTAGGTGGAGACATCTGTTAGAAACTGTATTCGTCATTGAATCATTCATTCAAGAGTTTTGTTCAAAAACACTGATTCAAGTCTTTATGAGTGAGTCATTGAATCATTCATTCAATAGATTCGTTCAAAAACGCTGATTCAAGTCTTTATGAGTGAGTCGTTGAATCATCACTCAAACCGATTTTTTTTTTACATTTTAAACCGACTGCAACAATGAACATTTTGTGAGAACCTCTAGTAAATGACATGGTATTTAGTTTAGATGTGTGTTCAGAATCGTGGGAGAATCTTGATTAAATCATATATTGGAGCTGCTACTTTTATTCAGCCATTCGGTTTGTAACATTATTATTACTTTTAGGCTAAAGGCCCGTTCACAGCAAGAGCGATCACAATAGCGATTTATGCGCAAGGTCTTTAAAAGCAGGATGGATTCTGATTGGCTGTCAATGTTTTTATCAGTTTTTACGAGAAACAATATTATTGGAATCACTTTAAAAAAGAAAAAAGTCCAGCTGATGAACGATAAAAAGCTGTAAAGAGCTTGCGCATTTAAAGCGGCAGACGATAAAACTGCAGAATAAACAGAACGATATCGTCCACTGGTTTAGCGTTAATATAGTTATCGTAATAGTGATTGTTCTTGGTGTGAACGGGCCTATAGTCAAAAAGTAATAGTAATGTTGCAAACCGAACGGCTGGATAAAAGCAGCTGCTCCAATATGATGTTATTGCATGTTTGAAAGATATTTAGATTTACTTTGAGGTATTTAGTTTGAGATTTGCATGAGATCTCAATCCATTATCTGCCCCTTCCCTCCTATTTCAGAGTGATAAATGAGAGCAGTCCCAATGAAACAGCCGTCAACATCATCATGCATGTGCAAACTGAGGAGATCCTGCATTGCACACGCTCTCCAACTAAACAACGAGAGATGAGATTATGAGACGAGAGGACACAACATGAGAGGCTATTGTTCTAGCGCTGGAGTGATCTAAGAGCTGCGGACAATGAAGAGCTCTGTGAAAGTGGTCAGTGCGACATCACTATCCTGAGGAGCGGTGCCACACTTGAGCCGAAGCTCCACCGCAGGACAGACATGGAGTCATCCGCCGTCATCAAACCACACAGACGGAGAGGTTTGAGATTCTCCTTACAGGCAAAACACACATGCATCTGGTCTCTCCGCACTGGAGACAGTTGCTCATCGCCATAATTAACCCTCGATTTATATTTAATGTTAATGTCTGTACGGAGGCGTTGTTTTAAATATGACCCAACAGACATAATAAACACCCTCTCAGACCGACTGGTGATTAATGTGTGTGTGTGTGTGTGTGTGTGTGTGTGTGTGTGTGTGTGTGTAGCTGTAGGTCAGGGAAAGGTCTCTGTTCAAAGTTTTTCCGATGTCGTGGTGACACACAGCTGTTCACAGGGATGGAGGGAAGAGGGGGAGAACGGAGGGAAAAAGCTAATAAGACAAGAAAAGCAGACTGAGAACAAGACAGAAAGAAATGATAGAGACAAGAAAAAAAAAAGTACAAACTAAACTAAGTTTATAACATTGATCTTTTTGGAAAGAAATTAATAGTTTTTATTCAGCAAGGATGCATTCAATTGATCAAAAGTGACAGTTATATTATATTTCAAATAAATACTGTTCTTTTGAACATTCTCTTTAGAACCCTGAAACACTTGATCATGGTTTCCCCAGAAATCTGAAGCTGTTGTCAACATTGATAATAATCATAAATGTTTCTTGAGCTTCAAATCATCATATTAGACTGATTTCTGAAGGATCATGTGACACTGAAGACTGGAGTAATGATGCTGGAAATACAGCTTTGATCACTGGAATAATTTACAATTGAACATATTCAAATAGAAAACAGTTATTATAAATTCATAATATTTCAGAATATTACTGAGAAAATTACAAAATTGACCCATTTCAATTGCAGAACTTGATGTATTTCTGAGTAAAACCAGGACGTTGAACAAGAAACATTGTAGAGGGAATTTAGACATGTTTTTCTCAATTTTGTCCATCAAGAATTGACTGAATGGTAAAAAAAAAGAAAGAGAAAAAAAAAAAGCATATTTATATGACAGATGGTTGGAAAGCCAAAAGGAAAATTGTTTCAGGAAGCGGAGCAAGATATAAAACAAAGTTCTTTCTTAGCACTAAGTGCAGTAATAAAACATGCACAATACGACCAGGAGCATGTATTAATTATGATGTCATGTTGACTTCCATCATGTTAGATCACAGTAATCGACTGCTTTATCCTCACAGTGCTCACCTGGGAAGTTGACCGTGGCGTGTACGGGTGCGCTGGTCGCCACAGAAGCGTGGACCAGGTGCGGGTACTTCAGACGGAACCAGGCAGCAAGGGATCCTGGGTAAGAGCCCCCAAATGCAACCCACTTGCTATTGGTCAGGCCTCGTGTTGCTGCAGTGACTGAGCGGAAGTGAGCGAGATCGGCCAGAGCCTGACGACTACTGAGGAAACGCAGATTCCCTGCGCTCAGATCCCTGACAACACACAACACAACAATCTATCAGCAGCTGTTGAGGTACGGATGGTCAGACAGACAGACGGACGGACGGATGGATGGATCAAATTGGATTAATGGATAGATAGACAGATAGATAGATAGATATCATCATCATCATTTCTTTATTCAGGACATACATATAAAATGGTCCATAGCACTATACATAGATATAGTATATAGATACAGTAAGTAGATAGATAGATAGATAGATAGATAGATAGATAGATAGATAGATAGATAGATAGATAGATAGATAGATAGATAGATAGATAGATAGACAGATAGATAGATAGATAGATATCCACTATGTGAAAGAACAGCAGTGTTATTGACTTGTAGTGCCATCTAGTGTTCATAAGCCAGTGTTTCACTCACTCGGTCGGGTGACTCTTCCCGTAGAAGCGGTGCTCCAGTAATAAACACAGGGCTCCCAGTTTCTGTGCGTAGAGCATCCAGGACCCGTACTGCATCCAGGCGGGGCTAGCCGGACCTTCCCCCCCGATCATCAGGAACACCGGACCACCGGCTCTATAGAAACTCTCATTCACAAAGTATCTCTGCAGGAGGAAAAGGTTTAGTTTCATTTAAGGTTTAGTTGAACCTTTATTGTCATATGTACTTTTAAAATGAGTGCTTTCGCATGCATGCATACACACACCCCGCTATCTAAATGGGGACTTTTCATAGACGTAATAGTTTTTATACTGTACAAAAACTGTGTATTCTCTCCCCTTACATTGACTCTACCCCTAAACCTACTCATCACACAAAACTTGTAGCATTTAATTTTTTTTTTATAAACCTTTAATTACTTTATTTTTTATACCAGATGTACAAATGAGGACGTCCCTAATGGGAGGTTTTTGGAGATTTTTTTCAGGTTTTGGTCACTGCTGGGTACAAATTTGTCCCCAAAATATAGTTAAGTATGTAGTAGGTACACACACACACACACACACACACGTCAAATGTTTGGAATCATTGCGATTTTTAATTGTCTCTGAAATAAGTCTCTTCTGCTCCCAAAGGCTGCATAAAAATACAGTAAAAATATTGATTAAATCGTAATTTATTACACCGATCAAAGCTGTATATTCAGCATCATTACTCCAGTCTTCAGTGTCACATGATCCTTCAGAAATCACTCTAATAATATGATGATTTGCTGCTCAAGAAACATTTCTGATTATTATCAAAGTTGAAAACAGTTGTGCTGCTTAATATTACTGTGAAAACCGTAATTCAAAAGTTTGGGCCGAGTAAGATTTTAAAATAATAATAAAAAAAAAAAAAAATTATTCAGCAAGGATTCATTAAATTGATCAAAGGCATCAGTAATGACATGTGTAACATTACAAAAGATTTATATTTCAAATAAATGCTGTTCTTTTGAATTTTCTATACATCAAAGAATCCTGAAAGAAAATGCGTTTCGTTTCCATAACAATATGAAGCAGCACAGCTGTTTTCAATATAATCAGAAATGTTTGTGACAGAAATTATTTCTGAAGGATAATACCTTGGTATTCTTTGAAGTACCATTTAAATGTCATGGTGCATGTATCATTAGCACCAGTATGTTTCTCTCTCTCAGAGACCAGTATGTTTCTTCTCTCTCAGTCTCATGCACGGAAGCAGCGGTACCTGTTTCCAGACTCGAGTGTCTGCGCCGTTGAAGTGATCCAGTCTCTGAGTGAACCACTGCTCGTGCACATCAGACTTCACGTGCACCAGAGCTTCATTTCTGCGCGAGCTTCTGTAGTGAGCAGCGCACGGGGCGAGGAAAACACACGCCAAAACAGTCACTACAACAGCTGGATATTTCTCTAAACTATTACAGCCTAAAGCCATTTTGAAGTGGAACTGCTTCTCTGTCGTGTGATCATGTGTTTATAATCATGTGATATGTCATCTCTTCTCTTCCCCCACTACGCAGAGCCGTTGAAAAACTGTTTAACGGCTCTGGCACTACGGTAAAGGCTGAGCTCATTAATATTAAGTAGTTCCACGCTATCCTTCCAATAGCGAGGTCCTTGCTCATGAATATTCATTTTTAACGGCTGACGTTATGTTCTTGCCTTCCAATGGCGAAGCTCGGAAAATGAATATTTAGACTCAAGCCTTCGTCGTAGTAACTCAATACCATACATATATTTCAAAATAAAAGCGACTCGATTGGCTTCACAAAATTAAAAAAACAAACAAATTAAAACTGTTATTTTCGCGTTAAAGATGTATGATCATGCAAAGAAGAGTTATGCCGTGTCCCTCTGAAGAGAAATTACGCGAAATGCGGCGGAATGAGCAACAGTCTGTAGCCTACCTGACAGACTACCGTAAATTCTGTAATATGGTGTGTTTCTTCAAGTTAGTTTACTTAAAGGGATAGTTCACTCAAAAATGAAAATTCTGTCATCATTTATCGACCCTCGGGATTCGGGTTGTTCCAAACCTGTATGAATTTCATGCTTCTTCCGAACACAAAAGAAGAACATTTGAAGAATGAAGGTAACCAAACTGTTGCTGGGCCCCATTGACTTCCATTAGTATTTTTTTTTTATTCAAGTGAAGCTCATGCTTGAGATGAAAATATCAAAATATTCTATTCTGCATAATTTCTAATTAAAATGTAATTTTGTAAAATTATGTAGGCTATGTGTGTGTGTTTAAATGTAGGCCTAGGTCTTTTTCATAAATTTCATGGTACACTTTGGTATATCATTATTTTTTTTAAACGCATTAAAAGGACAAAAAAATGTTTGTGTGAGAGAGATGTTAAATAAACTATTATCTATAAAATTAGCCATGTCCCTTTATTTATTCATTCATTTATTCATTTTATAATTGCTGTCTGTTTAATCTTGATGCTTGTTGTTAGAAAACAACAATCACATTATCTTAAACTGTATTATTTTAATAGAACATATAAGAAGCACCTCATCTAATGGCGAAGCACCTCCTTTCACTGAATATTTGATGAAAAACATCGTTTTTAAAAGTTTCAGGCTCTATTTTGTGCAATATTTATGGAAAGGACCATACATTAACTTAATGATTATTTATTGTGTTTTATGTTCCATCAGTGTTGAAAAGTCTAATCTATTCCACAGAATTTGACAAGCAGACTTCAACATGTTTGTGCAAGATGTTCCACGTAGGCCTACCATCACGAACCTCTTCCAACATTGTGGTTGTGGGTTTTACATCTGCAAGCAACACTTACATTTTCACCAGAAAAATAGCAAAATTAGTTCCTTCTATACTGGACAGCTGATGCTTCATTTCTAAAATTAGGCATAAACGGTCACCGAAGGATAAGATGACATTGTTACGGCTCACAAAGTTACAAGGTCTCAACAGATCACATCATTCGTCTCCCAAGTGTGTTTTGCTGTCAGATTGTTTAAAGGTCAGAGACAGCATTATATCTCTGTCAAAGATAGAAAGCCAAGACTGCACAACTATTGCCTTGAGAAGAGGTCAACAGTGTTACTTTGTGATGTTTCATAAAATGCATATAAATCGTCGTATCTGCCAATAAGATGATATTTAAATGCTTCGTTTTATGATTAAAGCTCTGTGTTTCAAAACATGTCATGCATACAACCGAAATGAACCAATAAAACTTCCTCAAAAGCCTGATGATCATGATTGAGACTTGTGATATAAAATGATGTCTGGATAATCAAGTAAACCTACTTCAGTCCAGTAAGTATTCATAACAATTTCAAAGTTTCTCTTATGTTTTGTTTACATCAGAAAACATGTGGATAAAGTATCATATATGATACAGAAGGCTTTATAGGGTTAAAAAGATCTGCACTGCATGCATTTGTTCATAAACCTGTGACCTCACAGTGTCATTTGCATATTAAACATAATATCCTCTGATCGACCCGGATGTTCTTTGCACTCATTGGTTTATTTGCAAATCAGCTGATGAGGACATGGTCCTGTTTACATTTGACATGATGATATTATCAGTCCAGGAGACGCGCAGGAATGATCACTCAGATTCCTGTTTACCATTTCGATCTTCCAGGCACATTTCTAAACTGTTTGCCACTATAGTTCTCTTACGAGAGGTTCTCTCGTATTGCGTAAGCTAGCTTACGCTGCGGGAAAGATTCATCTTTGCTGAGAGTTTGAAGCCAAAAAATTATTTCATAATTTGTATCCATTGACAACGCAGTTCCTCTGCGGCAGACCTAGAGCAGGCTAGCTAGCAGCTCATTGGTTCGCTCAGAGAGAACTGCTTAAGCCTATGGGAGAGCGGGGCTGAACCCGCTGCCAATGAGAAGCGCCCGCGCGCTCATTGCATCATGGCCCGCCAGAATGGGCGTGGCTATGGTGTATATAACAGTCTCTCCCAGGCTTACATGTTGATTCATTTCATCTTCAGCAAGCTACACGCTTCTGCTGTCCTGAGAAAAGCCGTCGCCGTCGAGAAGGCATCACTCTAGCGAGCTCCCGGACCGTGAAGAAGCCGGCCGTCTTCGCCACCTTCAGCCGCCCTGCAAGCTAGCGCCATCCGACGACTGTATCCTTCTTTTCTCTATATCTAAAAGAGCCGAGCGTCTTTTTAAAGATGTCTCGTTTTTCCTGCGGCTCTTGCCGCGCTCCTCTCGAGGACGGAGACCGCCATGTCATTTGCGCTCTCTGCCTGGGACTCCAGCACGCAGAACTCGCCCTCGCGGATGGAGGATGCGACTTCTGTGAGAGCCTGCCGTTGTCGTCCCTGCGGGCACGACTTCTGGCGGCAAAATCCGCTCCCGCGCCGCCTCTCTCTTCGCCGCGTAAAAAGAAACGCCGCTCCCAGAGGCCGCCGGAGCCCCCTGCGGAACCATGCGGGCCGCCGCTTCCCGCTTCCCGCTCTCCCTCCCCGCCCCAGCCGGACATACAGTTGCCGCCGAGTGGCCGCTCTGTCGCTTCCGATGACGCCGCGGAGGAGAAGGATTCCTGTTCACTGCTCGCGTCAGACAGTGAGGAATGGTCATCTCTCGGATCCACGAGAGAGTCGGCGGGGTCTCCTCCACCCGAGCAGGCCCCGAACCGGATGGACGGCAGCTTTTTTCATCGGCGCTCGACCCCCGCGTGCAACCGGGCCGCCCCATTCCTGCCTGAACTTCACACAGAGCTGACGAAGTCCTGGAATGCCCCGCTCTCGGCTAGAAACCGCTCCGATATATCCGCCTCGCTGCGCTCGGTGGACGGAGCCGCCGAAAAAGGTTATTCAGCCATGCCGCCCGTTGAGGACTTGGTCGCCGCACACCTCTGCCCGCCCTCTGCTAGATGGCGCTCTTCCCCCACGCTTCCTTCGAAAGCTTGCAGAGCGACCTCGAGCTTTCATGCTCGCGCCTACGCCGCCGCCGGTCAGGCCGCCGCAGCGCTGCATTCTATGTCTGTCCTCCAAGTGTTACAGAGCGATATTCTCCGTGAGTGGGCCGAGAGCGGTAGAAACCCCTCCCCCGCTGTCACGGATCTGAGAAATGCTACGGACCTCGCCCTTCGCGCCACTAAAGCCGCCGCACAAGCTCTGGGGAGATGCATGGCCAGCCTTTGTGTATCCGAGAGACACTTATGGCTCACGCTCGCCGACATGGGAGATTCTGAGCGCGCCGCGTTTCTTAACGCGCCCCTCTCCCCGACGGGCCTTTTTGGATCTGCTGTCACGGGAATCGTCGATCGCTTTTCCGAGCTCCAGAAAGCCACTCAGGCCATGAATTTGTTTCTGCCCCGCCGCGCTAGCTCTTCCGCAGGCCGCTCTCGCGAGCCTCCTGCCAGAGCTCCACCACAGCGCCCTCCTCCGCAGACTCAAACAGCCCAGCGCAGACAGGGCGGCCGCCCTCGCTCTCGCTCTGACAGCCGCCGCAGACCGCCGCCCCCACGGGGCCCGCGACCCAAGATCACGCTGAAGCCTGATCATCAGAAGTCTGCCTAGCAAAGTTAAGAAAACGACGGCGCTCTCCCGCTGCGGCCGGACCGCCGTCAAAGCTTCGCCCTCTGCCAGTCCCCGTTGTTTCGCCGACTGCTGTAGTGTTGACCGCCACAAACAAGCCGGTGTCCCAGCCCGCTTGCGAGCGACAAAAAGCCGTTTTCAAGGCTACCCAGAGAAATCTCAAAAAGAGAAAATATGCCAGTTGTGTAGAAAATGTGCCCACAATCATGTGCTCACCCATACACACAAGCATAACATATCCCGTGTCTCTCTCAGAGCCCTATCACATGAAACGGGCACAGCCCGCTCTAATATCAGAGAACATAAACACGCCCACGAGCTCATGCGCGTGTCCCCTCTCTGCTCGCTCTGTTTCACGGCCCATAGACTCCTCTCTGAGTGCAAATCCCGTTGCCACACACATTCAAAGCGCGCCCACACACTGTGTCCAGCCCGCTATGTGCAGCAATCAGGGCGATATAGCCATTCGGCCACTAGCCGCATGCTCCAAAGCGTGGGAAGCCATTCCAGGCATTTCCCCGTGGGTGCTAAGCATTATAAAGAACGGCTATCTGCTACAGTTTCGCCGCCGCCCGCCTCGTGCGCGCGCTCGGCTCGAATCTACTGTCAGCCCGCTGGCCGCCGGCACGCTCCGCTCAGAAATTGCGACGCTGTTGCAAAAGGGCGCCATAGAGAGAGTCCCACCATCTATGACCGAGTCGGGGTTTTACGGCCGTTATTTTCTGGTTCCCAAGAAAGACGGCGGCCTCAGACCGATTTTAGATCTCAGGTTTTTGAACAAAGTGCTCATGAAGAGACCGTTCAAGATGCTCACTACCAGGAAACTCCTCGCGCAGGTGCGCCAGGGGGACTGGTTCGTCTCTCTAGACCTGAAAGACGCCTATTTTCAGATCCAGATAAATCCCCGTCACAGGCCATTCTTACGTTTCGCCTTCGAGGGT